ATGAAGACCGGTTCCGATTTCAACTGCACCTGGGATTTCGATGACGGAGCGTTTGGTCACTCCAGCTATTGGATCACGGATGAAGAGGTCAGTTTTTTTGTGGTCGGGAGTTTTATCAGGGTCGTCGCCAGAAGCTTAGATGGGGGAGTTTTATATTCATATATTTGTCTTATGATTCGTCCTAGGTGTACAAATGGCCGATAACTCACCAAAAAATTTATCACATGTTTCCTGGCATTGGCGTGTACCACGTTCGCATTAATTGTACCAACAGACTCTACCCCATCACCGCCTCCACCATCTCAATTGTACAAGTTCCTGTCATTGGTAAGATGTTTTGGTAGATTTACTTTTTTATGGTTTTATACTGACAAAGGAATGCGATTCCTCTTGTATCTTCCTTACAAATTATCAATATGTTTATGAAATAATGACTCCTAGTAAGTTATTTAGAAATATATGTTTCTAAAAGATGGTTTCTTTTGTTAAAAGGATTCAAATTTGACCAGCCAGATCCTCAACCAAATGACGAAGATCTCGTGGTGAATTTCACAGCCGCCACGGGCACCAACATCAGTTACACCGTGACGTTTTATCACATCTGGGAAAAACGCGATATCCCTATAACGGATGTGACCATCTCTCCAGACACCCTCAAGGGAACTGCGGTCATCGACAAGAAGCACTTCACAGATCGTGTCGGTTACTACAACGTGAAGATAACAGCCGTTAATCTCGTGACGCCGCTTCAAACTCGCGTACGGACGGTCACGATCGATCGTCCGATTCGTGACCCCAAATTATCATTCACGCGAAATACGTGGAAACGAATCACACAGTGAACTACACGATCCACGCAGATGGCTCGAACGTGACCATCAAGTGGGATTTCAACGATCCGTACGCGGGTCCACTCAGCTTCCGTCAGGAATGGTTCCAAGGGGTATTTACAAGCGATGGCTGGACGGTGTGGCATAAATTTGACCACAGTGGATATTATGTAATCGATGTAACGCTCACGAATAGCTTGGGCACCGTTACTACGACAAAACAAGTTAAAGGTGAATTCGGCGTGTATTTGGTTGGCGTCACGGACTCTCCACGTCCCCTGCCTCCGGGTCGAATGAATTTCACGTTCTTCCCTATTCCAGAGAGGTACTATTGGCACCCAACTGACGCGCATATGGAAATGCAGTTTGGAGATGGAAAAAATTATTCGGGACCTTATAATTCGACCGTCATACATTTCTACGAAAGCTGGGGTCTGTTCCACGTGAACTGTACCATAATGAACAAGATCTCTTGGGGATTTTTCACGTTTGAAGTGGAAATACAACGTATCATACAAGGACTAAAGCTCACTCCTTTTCACAGCGCCGGCGATGCTGGCTACTTCGGTCCGGCTCGTGGGCCCAATCTTGATCGCCTACCTTTGGAATACGACGTGATATGGAACGTGACTACGTCCGACGGCACGAACATCACATACACTTATCAATTTGGGGATGGCGACGAAGAAGTGACGCAAATGCTACAGTTTTTCATAAGTATCGAGAGGTAGATTATTTCACAGCGACCGTTACTGCCGTGAATGCGGTGAGCAAGGGATCCACGACATTCAAAATTCGCATTCAACAAATCGTCATTGGAATCGACATCGATAGTAATTGCCCTCGAAAGATCGATCATCCGACCACGTTTCGTGTGACAATTGATCAAGTTGGAACAGAATCGTGTTATCTGATTCGATTCGGAAACAACAGTCATAATTACCTCTACAAGGATGCTCCAGACACGTTATGCGAACAGAGTTTCCTCGACCAAGTGTCTCCAGGCCATACCTACGTCTTCAGTGGAAAGTCTTTCGTTCTGAATTATACGTACGCGTTTATCGACGTGTATTGGCCCCGTTTGATTGGTTCAAATTTGGTGTCGAAGCTTTGGAAGTTCCACAAGGCTGTGGTTGTCTGGAATCACTGCGATTATCCCAAAATCGATATTTTTAACATCGGAAAGAATAGGACAACGGCGACTGATGTTTTACGGTCGCAGGTTTTCATGGTTGACACGCAGAATATCGTCCTTTGTAAAGCTTCTGTGACAACTTCTTTTCTATGGGAGGTCTACGAAGTGAACCCCGTTGAAGGCGGTAATGACACGCTGTTTATCTTTGCTTCAAACGTCGCCGTTAACAACCCAAGGTAACAAAAATTTAGAATAAAGACTAATTTTATTTCCTAAAGACCTCAGCCGTCGGTTGTTCAAAAGCCAGTTAGCTTAACCCGGGGTTAAAGCAAATCTTAACATTAATTTTTCTAATTGCTTGTTTGCAAAGTTGAATGAATATTTTCAGGACCGATGGAAGTCATATTTTCCAGAGTTTTAAAACGAACAGTTGCTCAGAAGCACATAAACTAAAACACTGGATAAAAAATTAACCCAGGGTTAGCGCTAACCCAGCTTTGAACGACTGGCCCCAGGAAGAGTCTATTTGCAAAGTTTGCTTGCGAAATGTTGTAAAATGCGGGGAAAATATACCCCTAACATGTTTGCTAATTTTTTATACGTCCTATATAAACCATGACGTCATCTCGAGCCCAATCATGCGCCTTTCTGATGATTTACAGCGAGTCCTGAGCCCCCTTAAATAAAGTCTCGACTCGATAGAGCAAAAACCTGGTCGCCATCTTTCATGTCGAATTAAGTACAAGTGCCAGTCTCTTTCTGTTTCTGTCGGCGCGATCGTCGACCGTGAATTCAAGATGGCGACCAAGTTATCGTTACAGTTGACATAGAGTTCACCGACTTGATCCCAGGAATGATCGAACCCCTACCTAATTGTAATCGACGCAATTTTTGCTTTTTCTTTAAGATTCCGCATCGATATCCGCCTATTACCATACGGTTTGTATAGAATGAAATTTACGATCACTATGCTAGGCATTGACGGGGTAGTCGGTTTCGACAACGGTTTCATTCGGATCATTGAATCCCCGTTGATCGCAACAGTCAACGGTGGTTCGGGCATTTCAAAAGGCTACGCGCAAAATGTGACAATCGATGCATCTGGTTCCCAGGACCCGGACGTCGGGCCGGGATTTTACGAGAATATAACATTGATCTGGGAGTGCCTGGTCGAAGGGATTCCCAACACGCTAACCCCGCAGGAAATCAGCGCTGCGGAGGTGAAGTCTGGCTGCTCAGGCGATGGTTTTAGTGTTTTAAAGAATGGAAGCGCTGCCGATTTGGTGTACCTAAATTCGAATTTCACCGTCCTCCCGAACGTGAACTACGCTCTACGGTTCACGGTTATAAAGAATCATCGTCGTATGAGGTCGTACTTCAACATCCACACACGTGAAAAAGATGTTCTCAATGTTTTTGTCAAGTAAGTACAGCGATTCATTAACGGGATGGAAACACCACAGGGCCAAGTTTAGGGCGATTTGTTTTGGCGTATACACAACGAAACGCCAGAAACAGATCGAAGCGTCTAACAACTATTTTCTTTCGTTTCCATTATTCAGATGCCTTCAGAACTGCAAAAAGAAACGAGTCTCTGCCGTGAAGCTGGCTTACACTGGCGGCATCCGTGGTCTCGAAGATCCTGAAATATTGAAGCGTGTGACGTATAAGTGGAAGCTCTACGAGGCGCCAGAACGTGGTCGACTTTATCGCATTCGTAACGACGCGTGGAAAGTGGTTAGTACACGGCGCGCAATTTTGCTATCCCCAGACAAAGGATATATCGCCCTCCCAACCGTTTGGAGGTTACCGCTGAGAAGTAAAGGTCGCCTGCTGTTACACGGCTAAAACCTTTTCCCTAGGGATTAACAGCATTGAACAATATTTTGTGGCCAGAATTGTTCGAATACGTCAAGAACAATATCGTTAAAACTAAATCAGATGTTGTTCAATGTTGATGAGACCTGTGGGAAATGTTTCGTCCCGTCTTAAAACTTGTTTATGTCAATATTGCAATAACCTGGTCGTTTTTAGGCACATTTCACTTTTTTTTTTGTAAATTTCGATTCACAATTCAACCTTGGTGAATCTGCTTATTAAAACTGGTCAGGTTTTATATTAGACTTGAAATTCCGCTCAACTGCATTTCACTAGGTGAAGACTTTTGAAACAGATTTCGTGATAACGGCAACCACAAAAGATACGGTGGTCATCGGGGAAAAAGTTCTTTTGCCTACATCACGATATCGTTTGAGGCTTTACGTCACGCTGGATGAACAGACTGGTTTCGCTGAAGAAGAACTATTCATGAACCAGCCACCTAGCGGTGGAGTGTGTGATAGGTAGTTTGCAATTGGTTCACTAACCTTCGTCCTTGTGGCGAAGGGCTTCCACAACTTATTTGCATGCGACTGTCTTCATAGGGAGATAGCAATGACAAAAGAGAGAAACAAAGAACTTTTGATTTTCTATTAAAACAAAAGACACAATAAATATTGATTGTTTAATTAGATCCTGCAGAAGGCTACGCGCTGGACACAGAATTTCGCGTCTCTTGCTCAGGCTGGAGCGACCAAGATGTCCCGTTATCTTACAAGTTCGCTTACAAAACAAGCGATGAAGACTTCGAACAGTTGATATACTTTGGATCTAAAAGTAAAACGCCACCCGTCAAACTTCCCCTGGGTAAAGCTCACTTGAACTACTCCATACAAGTCATCGTAGATGCTGCTGATTCATTACTAGCTCCTAATGTAACAATCCTGAACGTCACGGTAAGATATACTCCCACAATCGCGGAACGCCATATTTCATGGCTATCTGAGCCACTGGTCTGACAATACACTGCATGCATATAGCAGCTATGCTCTCTTGGAAACAAAGTCAGGTAACCAAGTTACTGTCAGAATTAGGTTTCTTCCACTGTTCCTTCAAATTGGAACCAAACTTGAATTCTATCTCTCGAACATCATTTCCATTCTATTTTCTATATTCCATCTCATGTTTAGGTCACGGCTAAGCCTATTACAAGTCTCGCAGAATTTGAGACGCATATGCTTCATATGATATCCAAGGATGGACCACTGGGAAATATGATGGCCTCGGGTGATGCTCACAGCGCTACACAACTTGTGGGAGCGTTGAGTTCTCTTCTTGACAATCTTGCGAACAGTAACAGAACTTCGAAACTTCAGTTAGAGATAGACGCGCTGGAGGCCATTGATAAAGAGCAGTTGAAACCAGAAGAGATTGACGCAATTAATCAACAAATCCAAATTCTTCAGGAAGCAGATAGAATTCAAGTTCAGAATGAAACGGCTATTCGTGTTAAGGTTGGCATTTGATTGATTTTGCTAGCGTTTATAGGTGAATGTGGGTGATCTGGGTGAATGTGGGTGATCTGGGTGAATGTGGGTGATCTGGGTGAATGTGGGTGTTGTTATTCGATCCCTTTTCGCGTTTTTTAGATGAGGAAAATAATGGAAAATGTGGTTTCCGAAATACCAATCGACAGCGTTGAAGCCATCCGTGAAAAAGCGACAGCCAGTGCGTCATTGTCAAACACTCCTAACGAAGTCACAGCAGAAATGCAGGTAAAATCACGCAAAACTATAATATTTAAAATCATAAAAACACAGTCACGATGATTTCCAATCTTTTGATTTTTTTCAATATGAACTTCATAATTCATCCAATATCAATTCGAAAGTACCATTCAAGCTAAATGGTGGTAAATATTCTGATAAATACATGATGCTTTAAGAATTACAGCAATTACAAGTAGCCAATTACAACAGTTTAAAATGTAAACAAACCCTTTGTTTATATTACGAACACAGCACCATCATTAAGGTTATGAAAATGCAAACTATTCATACGAATATCTCCTTTTCCCGAAAAATCAAAGTCTTACAAACTCGTCGTAAGGATAGACCTACCGTTGTTCAACTTTACAGGACAGTGCGATGAACGCGGCGAATCAAATGATCGCTTTCCTTGGCAACAGCACTCAGTCAGAAGAGCCCCCGAACCCGCAGGATACTTACAACGCTGCTGGTGGACTTATCAACACACTTGGAAATTCGATGGAAGCGTCTATAGAGACTGGAAAAAGCTACAACGCCTCAGATGACGGTGGTGATAACACGACAAAGACGGATAGTGCTGTGAGTATTTGATGAGAATATTGTAGTCTGGAACGATTTGAAGACAATTTGAAAACGAAAGATCCATTCACAGACAATGATATCTCATTGGCTTGCTTTTTACCTGAGGCAGGGATCTCGCAATATGTTATAGACGAATAATTCATTTTAATCTGAATAATAACTATTCCTAAGATATCTTTATTCGTTCAAGTTTCCAGACGTTTTCTGGTATTAATTAATCCGTTAAACTCTTCTTTTCATCATCACAGAGTAAAGGTCTCGTTACAAAAGCGATGGAGAACGTCGAGAATTTAGCTTCGGCCGTTTTGACGCAGAAATTTGCCGGAGAACCGGCGACCGAGGTAAAAACGGAACGCCTATCCATGGCCGTGCAAAGGGCTGATCCATCGGAAAGCGGGAATATTGGGGCGAACACAGGAGGTGGAAACTTCATGATGCCGAATGTCGGGGCTTTGTTCGGTATTGACGGAAACGATACGAAAAAAATACCACCTGTTGATACTAAGGTTTGTAGCTCTACCGCGATTAAACAGCTATCTTATCATAAAGTTTCTCAACTGGTTCTTCTGTCATCTCCGAAATGCATGGAGCACCATCACGGCACTCTTGGATGCCAATATTACTATTTTATGCTGTTATTCGCCGACATTAGATCTATTGAAATAGAGTTGCACTGTAAAGATTTTATCGTGTCCCCCCGATAACAAATGAGCTTCAAATATTGAATCTAAAGAAGGATATTCCAATTTCGCATGTTTCATGATTGAAATTGTATAGGACCGTTTACATTTGCAATTTTTGCTGCCATTTTTTGGCGATGATCTTCATTTTGATAGATGTGAACGAGTAAACTAGTTACTGATGATGTTCAAATAAGACCTCTTATAATCAGATCATTCGTAACTAATCACTCGTTCACATCCACCAAAAGTAGAAAATCGCAGCATTCAAAAATTGCAAGAGTAAACGCAGGCCTTAATATCATTGTCGACGACATGCTAAGATATTTTATTACTAGGCTGTTTCAAATTCGAAGAATCCATTCGCTTGGGACTCGACTTCGTCGAAAGTGAAGAGCAAGGTTATGACGATGGAATTGAAGAACGCCTCGGGCCATCCGATCAAAGTGAGCAACCTATCCAAGCCAATTGACATGTGGGTGCCACGTGGGATGTCCGTGGATTTCTCGCTGTACGCCGTGAACCACGGAAGGTTTCTGTACAGAGCATTTCCCGTCGTGGAGAACGATACCTCGATACAAGTCGAGATTCTCGCCGAAGATAACAACACAGAACTCATCGCTTATTTGCGCTTCGGAAAATTTCCGACCGAGGAAAAATATGATTTTAAATACGTGCTGCCCAGACGTGTGTTTCCCGTCAAGCACTCGGGGAATGGAACCGCGAACAAGACAAAAACCGGTCGGGAAATAAACCCTTACATCTTGTTCCGGTCTAACGAGGATCTGAACAGAACAGCCGCGGGAAAGGTAACTAGTTTTGTTTTTAACCATGTTGATAATCGAAAATAATCCAGGGTCGTCGGTTGGCTGTTTGAACCAAATTAACTCAAATCTGTTTTGATTTAATTTTGCGCATTTTTCCGAAAGCCATAATTCTTATCAATTTTTGAATCCAAAGATAATTACACGCGACTCTATTTTCCGCATTTTAAAATATTTTACGACTGAACTTTGGGATTGTACAATATCTAAGATGCTCTTTCAAGCTGTGCTTAGTACGTTTTCCTCGTTGAAAACTTTGTTAAAGCTACCATCTGCCTGACGAATTTGTTTGAAAATAGTAAATGCAACACTGTAATACGTATGCAGGTAAACGTATTCTTGGTTCTGAGTTCATTTACAGTTAAATAATTAAAGTTTTGGTTTCGTGCGGGTCGTATTTCTCACGTCGGCTACAAAAACGTGCTGTAAAAATAGCCAGCCTACAAGGAGGATCAATTCAGATTAGTTTTGTTCATAGATTCTGTGATTTCTTTTGCAGTATTACATTGGCGTTAAGTACAACGGGACATTTGACCCGCTGTACGAGGCTGTTATCTCTGGTGGGAAAATAACATATAAAGAATTCATTCCACCGATTGCAAATTTCACGATGAGAACCTTCACTTCGTCTTGTTTGTACTGGAGCATCGAGAATGATACATGGAAAAGCGACGGATGTGTGGTAAGTACGAAATATTGTCGATTCGTTGGCTATAGACACCAGGATCAACAGAGTCCCGAACACTTGTTTCAGACAACTTATAGCATGAGTATGGAGCCGCCTTATACTAAGTTGCAGTCAAACTAATGATAACCTAAGTAATTTAGCTTGTAGGTACACTACCTAGTATTTAATACTTAAGAATTAAAAGATTAAATTAAATTAATTTTTTATTTAAGTATTAAATACAAGCTAAGTTACTTACAAGACTATTATTAATGATAACTTGCCATGAACCAAGTCATTTTACGCATTCATAAATCGCCTTGAATGCTTCAACTCTTACTGACTTCGATTTTGATCTGGTTTCAGGTCGGCCCAAAGACAGCTATGGACGGGACACAATGTTTATGTACGCATCTGACATCGTTCGGCGGAGATATGGTCGTTGCTCCTAATACGATTGACTGGAGTGCGATAAGCTTGGATAATCTTTTCAGCAATCCTGTCGTATTCGCCGTCGTGATGTCGTTCATTTTTCTGTATTTTATTCTGCTTATTCCCGCTCGTAGACAGGACAAGAAAGATTTGGAAAAGGTAATGCATGATACTATAAAGGAAGGAAGTCATTTCTGGGTGGAATTTCAGTGAATTACTGTAGCTAAGACTGGCAGATCTAAAATCATGGTTTTAAATATCTGCGAGGCATAAAGTACTTCAATGCGATGTGAAAAAGTTTAACAAACAAACCTGTGTTTACAAAGATGTTGTTGTTTTTCGGAGCATGTTTCCTTCCATTTTTTATTAAAATATTCTGTTGTCAAAGGTTTTTTGTTATGGTGAAATCTTTTAATAAAACGTCTCTGATCATTGTAATCAATTGTACAAAATCATGGGAGGAAAGCTTTGGTAGAAATATCTTTATATGCGTAGTTTTAAGGTTCTTCTGTTCTTAATTTGAGTGAAGGCAACTTTTTCCCTTTTAAAACTGTTTCTTCTTCTCAGCTTGGCGTGGTTCCATTACCTGATAACGACCCTCGTGATCAATACAGCTACGAAATCACCGTCTACACTGGGTTCAGCGCCGAGGCCGGAACGACGGCAGATATTTTCTTCATCTTAGAAGGAACGCGAGACGAGACGCCGGTGAGAATGTTAAAAGATCCCAGCAAGAACAAAATCTCCGTTGGGAGCATCAACTACTTTCTGTTAACCGTTCCTTCGTCTTTGGGGAAATTGAGAAGCCTTCGTATCTGGCACAATAATGGTGGCAGTTCTCCATCTTGGTACTTACTACGTCTGATGGTAAGTCTCATTGAATAGCTAGACAACTTCTCGTGGAACCCCACAACTTTAGTCCATCGCTTGCTCTAAATATTTCTCAAGCATTTCAGCACCCTCATTTTGCAAGAATCCTTGGCCTGCATTGAAGGTTGTTCTTCGCAAATCCTTGGCAATAATTACAACACCAATAAGTTTTTTACAACACCAAAATAATTGAAATATTCGCTTTACCCTAAAGGTTCACGATATCCACAGAGATACCAAGACGTGGTTCCTCTGCGATCGTTGGCTGGCTGTTGAAGAAGATGACGGTCAGATTGACCGAGTCCTCCGACCGGCAGGCGCCGGAGACCTCACGAAGTTCAACCTCTTGTTCCAAAACGAAGCTCGTAAAAACCTCTCCGACGGACACATCTGGTTCTCGGTCGTCAAGAGACCTGCCCGCAGTAACTTCACACGTGTACAGCGGCTGTCGTGTTGTCTGTGTATCCTGCTGACCACAATGCTTGCAAACGCAATGTTCTACCAAAACGACCCGTCGTCGTCTGGCGATGGTGTACTTAAGGTGGGTCCGTTCCATACAGCAGCTCTCTATCGCTATCACGAGCAGTTTGGTTGTGCTTCCTGTCAACTTGTTTGTCGTCTGGATCTTCCGAAATGCACGACCAAAGAAAACGGCGAAAGAAAAGCAAAAGGAAGAAGAAGCCAAATACGAATCGCGGAAAAAAAAGAACGTTAAAGAATCAAAATCGAAAAAAGGAAAAGAGGAAAAAGGTAACCTCATAACGGAAACACCAAGTCGTTACCACTGATCTCATAATACTCTTGATATAGTGAGAATAACTATTAAAATCATTCATTCTTTGCAAATAGACCTGTTTCACGGGTCGAACTTTTCATCTGCCAAATCGAATGCAGATACCCAGGGTATTGCTGTTAATATTCACAGACGCCTCATCGATCTTAATAGTCTACGAAGTCCTAGATCATAATATCTGTTTTTATATTTTATTTATTTTCGTTGTATCATTTCGTAAATATTTTTCAATTTTTTTGAAGATGGGAAAAAGAAGTCTTTGCCTCACTATATGATTTACGTCGCATATTTCGCGATATTTATCGCCTGCTCTGTATCCGCCACGTTCACCGTTTTCTATGGCCTGACGTTTGGCAAAGCCAAGTCCGAAGCGTGGATCTCAGCTATGATGATCTCGTTCTGGCAAGACGTGCTCATCTCGCAACCGTTGAAGGTCTTTGCCGCTGCAACGCTGTTTGCGCTCATTACCAAAGATCCGAAGAAGGCAACTGGGGAGGATGATGAAGATAAATTACCATCGCCAGAGCTTCAAGAGGACGAGGAATACACGGAGAGGAACATGGAAGGTCGAGGTATGTTTGATGTTGTTCATTTGTCAGTGTTTACAGAAAGAATACGAACCAATGTAACGGTTGGAGTTGAAAAGGAAAACAACAGCAACAACAACAGCAACAACAGTAACAAAGTAAACAACAACAACAACAACAGCCACAGCAGCAGCAACAACAACAAAGCAAAAACAACTAGCATTAACGTTTAAACAGAAGAAACATCAAAAAGAAGGAACTGTTATAAGAATGTATCAACACATAGGAAACAACAACAATAAGAACAATAATAATACCTTTTACCACCACAACAACAACAACAATAAAAACAACAAATGTAATAACAACGACAACGACAACTACAAATAAGAAAACAACATCAAGACTCGTTTTTTATGATCTTTTAAGGTTTGGTATCAATGGCCCGAATTGACCCTAAACCACTGGATCCACAGAAACTTCAGGAAAGCAGGGATTTAAAACTGAAACAAAAAAAGATGAAATATATTCTCTACGATATAATCTGGTACTTTATATTCGTGAGTGTCCTACTGAGCGTTGCCCATGGTAACAAGGATAAGGTTGCCTACGACACTACCTCCACCATGTCAAGCATGTTTGAAGGAAGCAGTTACACGAATTGGATAGATTTTGGCGAGGTACGACCATCTTTAATTTAGTTCCAGTATGATTCAGAATAAAACTTCTTGGTTTTCTGCCACATTTGCGTTTCCAATTTTGTTTTGAAGCAAAGATATCTTCGGTATTTACTACAAATTAAGATATATCTTAAGAAAAAAACAATATAGTGATAATGCTATGAGATTCAGGTCTCAACTCTTTCTGAATTCTTGTTTAGTTTTTCGCGTGAATTAAGGATGTTTTAGTGATTACTTTTCCACAGCAAAAGTGTTCTACCGTGTTTGTTTTTTCCTCTTTGAGAATATGTACTCTACAGTAGTTTAGATTTATTAGTTGAAAGTTTGCGAAATATTGATTTTGTATTAAATTCCTGGTTGACGGCTGCTGATGTTGATCTAATTTACTCTTAGATAACCGATCCTAAACTGTTCTGGTATTGGAGTCGATACACCTTATTACCCACACTTATCCCAAACCAGTGGTATGGTCCAAATCAAATCCTAGAAAACGTGGTCTGGGTCAAAAGTGATCCGTTGATCTCGCGTTCTCGGGGCGCGCGTAGCCGATTGAATTTGAACAAAAACAAGGTTCGGAAGATTCAGGGGCGACCAGGCGAGTTCCCGGACATGAGCATCGTGCTGAATAATACCTTTCCATTCCCGGAACATTTCGTAGCCGACCGTGCGACGGACTATACCGTCGGAGTCGCGAGATTCAGACAGCTGAGAGTTAAACCAAGTAAGTTAGACATTTCTGTTTGTTCTGGACAAAACTATTATATATGAATTGCACGACAAGAATAGTGTTCGACTTCATATGAACAATTTAAGTCCCACACGTACGTGAGACGTCGTTTTTGAGCTTTTTACATAATCCATTGCACAGCATTGCTTTCTTTTTGCAACGGAAGGAGTGAAGCCATCTCGTTTTAAAATCGTAACTCGTTTGTAGACCATGCACTTCGCCACATTCAGTTAAGACCATAAATCTACTGACAACCTCTTTTTTCTATGTTATATCTGCTTAAATCATGTCTCCATTCAATTGTCGTGAACCTGACAATATGGTTGATTTAATGGAATATTTCTACGTCTGTGCGCTCAAAATGTGACCGATTTGAGTAAAGAAATTGAAACAAATATACTTCTAAACTATTTTGCCTTGTTCATATCAATTACAACAAATTAGAGACTAGGTTCATGAAATGTAACCAAATCTTTTTCTGTCTATCTCAGATCAATGTTCAATTCATCCGGCATTTCAACACATGTTCCAAGAGTGTAACAGTTTCTACAGTTGGGAGAAGGAAGACGAGGGTCAGTACCTGGAGGGGTGGGTGAAAGACCCCAAGGCGAAGATCAAGAAGAATGATACAGCCACTGAGAAACAGAAAAATGCTTGGCAATACAATACCGCTTGGGAACTGAAAGGGACGCCATATTGGGCATCATTTTCAACATACTGGGGAGGAGGTAGGGTGACCGAAGATATTTGTGTTGATAATTATGGATAGCAATGGGTATTGATGATTATTTATGTGGAAAGGACAGGCCTTTGACCCCCCTTATAACGATTGAACGCATTTGAAATAATGGTACCTTGGAAAACGCACCTTGAAATCTTTCTAAAGAAATGCTAAAATTTTAAATCTTAACGTCACTTGCTTCGTAAAGAATGACACATAAATTTTTATTATTATTTTTCTTTAATCAACCCCTACGTCTTAGTAAACAATAAAATTTAGTAAAAGGATAAAAATTTGATAAAAATAAACAATAAATTTAGACATGTTAAAAAATAAAATAATATCCCGTAGGTTTTGTCGCTGACTTGGGTCACAACGAAACCTTGGCGATGAACATGACTGCCTACTTGCAGGAAAATGATTGGCTCGACCGTTACACACGGGCAATATTCTTAGAGTTCACGACATACAATCCAAACGTGAACATGTTCTGTCTAATCACACTCGTTTCCGAGATCATCCCCACCGGTGCCTACTATCAGTTCAATCAGATATACCCAGTGAGACTCTATCGTTACTACGGACCAAATCTTTTGGCAATCATGGTGTTAGAAATCACCCTTATGACATTCCTACTTTACTTTGCTTATCGCGAATTCAAGAAATGGCGCCGTGAGGGAAGGCTGTATTGGAAAGATGCGTGGACGTACATGGAATTGCTCGTTCTCTCTTCCTGCTTCTCAACAATCGGTCTTTACTTCGCCCGGATGGTCGCGACTAATTATTCTATCGGTTTAATGCGAGATGATCCACAATCCTTCGTGAGCTTCCACTACGCCGCTGCGTTGGATCAATGGTCGACGTTCACCCTGGGAATGGCTGTGTTCTTTTCGTTCCTGAAGACGCTCAGCTTGCTTCGTTTCAACAGACGAATGTCGTTCATGAGCAAAACATTGAAGATATGCTATAAACCGCTTGCGTCTTTCTTCCTTGTATACATCGTCATATTCTTGGCCTACGCTTCCTTCGGGTTCATCGTCTTCGGTAAAATCGCTCCGGACTATCACACATTCCAATCGTCAATGGCAAATGTACTCGGAATGACTCTGGGCGCTTTCAACTTCCATGCCCTGGTCGAAGCGCACCGAGTTCTTGGTCCAATTTTCTTCTTTACTTTCACGTTCGTTGTCAACTTCATCCTGATCAACGTCTTCGTTGCCATTATCTCGGAAGCGTTGAATTCGGTGACGTCCGACGCCTCAAACCAGTCGAACGACCACGAAATTCTCGACTTCATGGTCCACCAGTTCAAGTCGTACATCGGATACAGAGTTTCGCCGGCGATAAAGCCCGTGTACGTCGAGCCGTTGTCGGGAGTCGACGAATCCTTCGATCAGATTGAAAAGAAGACGGAGAAAGTTGAAATGGCATTTCGGAATCTCTGCATGGAAGAGATTCGCCATGCGAGCTGGTTCGATCCGGAGAAATGTGCGAACAAAAAGAAGCTCCTGCTGCGATTGCTGCTTCACGTCGACAACGACATGACGGAGACGGAGGTATGTGACGCTATCCCTCTCTTCGATGAGGTGATGCGTGCTTACACCGAGAAAGATTTCAAGAACTGGCTTGTGGAATATGGCGAAGAATTTGACGATGCAATGACGATGCGTAGTTCGGTGTTGTTCTCCCGCGCGACTCTCTACGATTCCGACGACAGCAGTTCGGGCGATGATTCTGATGACTCGCTTGAAGAAGGAAGATGGTCGCAACTCTCCGGTACCACCGTGGCTTCTGTTGACGAAAGAAATCTGTTTTCAGGCGCAAGTGAAGTCCCCGACGCACGGATTGGAAGCGTCGAAGGGTACTATCAAAGATACAACGAAAGGCCTCCGTCGACGGCCGAGAGGTTCTGTCGGACGCCGATGACGGACTCAACGACATCTCTGAATGCAAGCATGTCTTATATCGACCGGTTACTTCAGCAAGACGATGATTCCCAGAGACTGTTTATCGAGGGGGGCGATGAGGGGGGAATGGAACCCGAGGATTCGGACGACGACGATTTCAAGGAGGTTGAAGAAGAATTGATGAAAATGAGAACACCTGAACCAGCAAGTGACACGGAGGAACGCGCCGAATTTTGGATGTCGAACTTGAAGCCGACCACCCCGGAGGAAATGGAACAAGGATCGAGCGTGGAACTCCACAGAACGAGTCCTAGAGATGATTTCCCGCTCTTTGAGAGATCCCTCAATTTAGGAAAGAACAAAAACAATGAATATAATGTATTTGTAGAAGAATTCAGCGATTAGTTAAGCAGCAACATTGCCTTGTTCAAACTGGTTACCTTTTGCATTGGTTTTACTGCATGGGAACATTGTATTTTCTCAAATCAGTTCTGCCAAACCAAAAATGTCTAAGTTTACAGTTTATATTAAATACTTCCAGTAAAATAGCAGTCGTAGAAAGCTTTAAAACATTTCATGTTCACTAAAAAAACGCTTTAAAATGCGAACAATAGTTTCTACAAGATCCTCGCTTGTTTGCAGCCAGAGAAAATTTCAAAAATATCTTGATGTTTTCTAGTTTTTCCATGACGTTGAAGCATTTAAACGTTGAAGCAATTTTAAACTATTTTATATATATCTCGTCATGTGTTGTTAAATGACTTCATACTTACCTAGATCCAAGTTTTTCGTAGACATTATGCACAGTATCTTAATAAGATTTTTTGACAAGCTGAGTATTGCAGCAGCCTTCGGAAGAATTTGCACGATTATTGCAAGCATAAAAATAAAGCACGGTAATATAATTGCCATAGTGTAATTTTTAATACGAAATATTGTAAGAAATATGATGTAATAATTAAGCGCTCATTAAAGTTATTTTGAATCATCTAAACTGATAAATTAATTTAAATCGCAAACAATTCTGAATAAACGTTGCATGAACCATGGTTTGCATATGCTGATATGCTTACGCCCTGTGACGCAGTTCGTTTCAAAGTATATCCAATATATCTGAAAGTTTTTTAATATAAACTTGATATTGAGTTTTATATGATAAAGTTAAATTTACTCGCTATACGCCAACTGTTATTACCGTATTGCACGAGATCCGAAATGCAATGGTTGCTAATGACGTGTTTGGAAAAAGCCGATCACTAGCGAATCGTAGCAGAAATACACGTGAAGACCTACGCACGTCTTCATTAAAATGCAATTGCGCTCATCACGAGTAGAGGGACTATGGACCAGCTGGTGGCAATACTAACTAACAACACAAGAGTGCTTAGTAAAAATAAACCAAAATATTTTTCTTCATTCCTTGAAAAGCCATCAAAAACCGCCAACCGACCCTGCGAATCGCTGCCCTGTTTGTTTTCTTCCGAATGCCTTGACCTTCAGTTAAAGATATGAAAATACGGTAAGGCTCGTTCATTTATCTTGAAATGAATAAATAGTTAGATCTCGCTCTGTAAATATGACTGGGCTTTCTTATTTTTGTACGATTTTTATTTAGTTCGATTACATTATAACTTCTATATAGTCGACTTAACTACATGACCTCAACGGGAAACTTAATCAAAATAAAAGAACAGCGTAAATTTCGAACAGTTGTTTTACAATTTCACTCGGAAGGCAGCAGTTCAAGACAAGATGTTTTTCGATCTTTTTTTTTATGTTTCTACACACGAGTCCGAAAGATAAAGAGAGATGCACAGAAAGTGTTTTTGAGTGTGTTAACAGGTTACGCCGTGAATACTAAGTTGTTCCAGCTGTTTTGTAGTCTTTCTCGCATTCAGAAATTGCATTATATATGAAAAGCTTCGCGAACTTGATAAGCAAACAAAGATACAATAAATAGATCCTGTCGTATAAGCAGTCATTGAAACTATAATTATATCAAATGGCGTCAAATCTATAGTTGCTTTTGAAAATTGAAGAATTCGTGTCATTTTGGATGATCCAAAATGACACGATTCTTTAACTCCGCTCTTCAAAGATCAGTTGATATATGATTAGCGAAGAGGATCGAAAACAGAGAAAACGTCTGGGCCTTGCTCCCAAGAGCTGAGATGAAAATTAATCCCTTGTCACCTGCAAATAAAGCTCAATTAAGGACGTATATAAACATGTCATTCTCAAGGCAAGAAAAAGTGTGCTTATATTATGTGCATATATAATACTGCATTCGATGGGAACTGGTGTAAAAAAATCGTTTCAGCTGCGAAATTTTGTCTACCAGTCATTTTAATACCTTGGAGCCATGGAAACAGCTTTTTTCACGCAGAGGTCTTCTCTGGTCACAATGCAGGCGTTTTTTTTTTACTTTCTACGGCACTTCGTATAAATTATGACACAAAGCTTGTAGTTTTACTTTCAAGGTAGACAGTCTTTGCGGCACGTTGATAACTGCTAACTTTCCTCTAAAGGCTAGTTTCCACTCAGGAAAATACTCCTCTGGATCGGACAGGACGGGAAAGTTTCCTTGGTATAAACGCCGCCTGGGAACTCACCGACAAAGGAAATTTTCTTGTCCGTCCGATCCAAAGGAGATTTTTCCTTGAGTGGAAAGTAGCCTTAAGGTACCGTAGATGAGTCGAAACACATTATGACTCGGTAAATCCAATGCAAATTTTATTAATTTTATATATAGTCTTTATTTTGTTAATAGATTGCACCACTTGCATGATATGATCTAGGTAATAACAAGGGAAAATATCACCACAGCTCAAACGAGTATACTGAAATTAGTATAATTGCCAAGTTTGGTTGCAAAATGTCGAGTTGTATACTGAAAATATAGCCATGCGAAGTGGGTAATTTTTTGTATACTTTTCCATTACGGGCAGAAGTGTATAATTAATTTAGTTACACACTTCCAGCCATAATGCAAAAGTATACAAAATTTGCCAACTTCGCTTCGCTATATCTTCAGTACTTCACAATATTTCGCAGCCAAACTTGGCAATTTTACTAAGTTTAGTATATGCAATGTTTTATTCAAAATATAGCCAAGCATGCAGCGTTCTACAACATAGTTTTTACCTCGCAATAATTTCAGGCCAATTTTTGCTACTTCAGAATCACTGAAGAATGAATAAAGTTGAATAAATATCTCAGCAATGAGGTAGTCAGACGGCACATTCTTGATAAACGATAGTTATACTTTGTTGGGGACTCATAATTTCATTTAATTATCCTATTTTTTTATTAATTTATTTATTTAGTTCCCGCTCTTAATCGACTGATCTCGAGAGTCGGGCTCTGTTTTTTGATATTTTCTTCCCATTTTTAAAAATTTTCAAACAGTTTTTGTACTTTTTGTCTACGGCGATGTTTGATACAAACGTTCTTTAAATTACGTAATCTATTTCTGGGCACGCTCTCAAAATCCTATTCGTCAAATACTTGATATATACCTGCAACAGCGAAGATTTTAATAAAACTTTCAATTATTAAAGCTGTACATTTAAAGAGCGTGTATAGCCCGTAATATCAACAACGTTTTGTTTGAGTTGAACTTCAATATTTTTCTTTAAAATATTATCTATTCCGTTTATATCTACAAAATATTGGTTCATTCTCCTAATTCTGAATAAACGGGAGTTCAAGGCAATGAAATTCGGAACATTTGAATTGAAACTATAAATGCTATTAATCTATAAGCAGAACCATGCGCATGCGCAGAAGTGGCAGTCTGTGTAAAGTGAATATTGGACAAGAAAAGACGATTAATATATTAAAGATGTATTATTGAACACATATATCGGACACGTCGTTGAAAGAAATTAGGACGCTGATTGCGCGCGAATTTCATTGCTGTTGAAGCCGCCTGTGGAAAAACCTGTAACTGGCATTCAGTACTAAGAAATATACGTCAAAGACCTAGCTATATGCGCCTTCCATAAAAAATGCAGCTGCCTCGTCACAATTAAGTAAAAAGATTAGATCGGTTGGTGGCAACGCGGGTGCTTGATGAAAAAAATCAATAAAAAAATAATTATTTCTGGTGATTCGTTTTATCCGCATAATTATACAAAGAACACCATTCGATTTCTCTGCGCCTTAGTTTTGTGTAAATCTCTTTACCTTCATTTTGAAGATATGAAATTGCGGTAAGGTTTGTAAATGATTTTTTTCCATGCAAATGAATAAACAGTCAGGATGGCAATCTGTAAACATTGACAGGTTTATATTTTTGTTAGGCTTATATTAGTGTCACAGTGTGTGTATATGTATATATATAGCTAAGCTGAAGATCGATACATACAAGACAATCTAACTTGGTATAATCGACTGTTAAACCGCAACAGGAAACCGAGACATCTTGCTTGAAGACAGTAATTCAAAATAAAACTAAGGCCCGTCCACACGATGCCGGAAGAATTTGAAAACGCAAGAATATTCTTACGGTTACGCGTATCGTCCACACGTATCCGGCGTTTTCGCCGACTAAAAACAGAATAATCTGAAAAGGCTCTCCAGTTTGGAAGAATTTGAAAACGACGGCTGAGCGGATACGTGTGGACGGCTTTGCCGGATAAACTTGAAAACGATGACGTCACGTATCAAGTCGTTTCCATATTAATGAGGCTTGCCTTAAAGTCTGGTGGCTTATGCTCAACTTTATATTGCTATATTAGTCTCAAATAATTCTTATTTAGGTTATTTTCATTGTGGGTAAATAGCCGTTGTTCAGATCATCAATGGACCATTTATTGGGTTTCTTTTTAAATTTTTAGAGCATCAGTTGAACGCAGAGCTATATTCTTGTTAGTGATGCATTTATTTTTATCTTAATTAGCTCTCAATACAGGATTGACAAGAAAATTAGTGACATGCAAAACTTTTCTTCTGATTTTAGTGCCTCTTTCAACGCAGTTAAATGCACTGCTACAATTTTGCTTCTGTTGCTTTTCGTCGTCGTCCAGTCTCGATATATGGTGGACAAGACGAAAGCCTTGACAGACCAAGTGCTTTACGGGTATGCGTTTCGCAACCTCGCAATGAAGACTGTGGACGAATGTTTCTTGGCCTGCTACGAAGACTGTTTTTGTATGTCATTTCAAATGTGCCGTCAGAATACAGAATGTCAGTTGTTGTCCTCCAACCAATTTCAGTCGCCATTCGCGCTGCACAGCATGATGGGATGTTCTTATTACGACATGGTTCCTGACTTTGAACAGGTAAAAATGAACTGACTATATGCCATCTCTATTTTGCATTTCTTTACAGGAATTCTTCCATTTAATGTAATTATTTTATTTGTGAGTGCTTGGTGAAGTGGATGGGCATGTCACAAAGTCAGGCATTAAATACATGTTGAAAATGATGGATCTCTCATAATAAAGGGGGAAATTTGGTTTTAGACTAATCGGCAGGCCTTTTGTTTACATTTTCAGTAACCTAACAGAATGCGTGAATTTTGACGACGTCCGGTAAAAGGGTACATTATTTTACATGAAGTATTACAAATTTAGGCATTCTGTTTGGCTTTTGCCTAGAAAAGGTAAACAAATATGCCGATTAGTTTAAAACGAAATTCGCCCTTTTTTCTTCGATATCAATTTTCCCTTATTTCCAGTTCCGGCCGGACAAGCCCGCTGGAGGGTGTAATGCAGGATGGGAATGTCGACCTTCAATCAATCTCTGTCAAAATGGCGGCACCTATCATTCTATTGCACCAACAAATCGCATCTCACCACGATTCAAGTGCAATTGTACCGCAGGTTATGCGGGAAATCTCTGCCAAACTGTGGCCAAATCATGCCGTGGTTACGAGAACAGCGAGCGAATTCCTGGAAAGTACAAGGTGTTCGATGAAGGCATGAATTTGTTCGAGGTGTTTTGCGATTTTGATTCAGGTTCAAGAATGACTTGGACCCTTATTCTGTCCTATCAGTTCAAACACAGGGTTACATTCGATAAACCGTACTCAAACGATCTTCCTAAAAACCAAGACAGCCCACGTTGGGATGAATATCGCCTTTCAAAATCCAGGATGCAATCAATCCAGAAAGATTCAAGTCATTTTCGCTTCACATGCAAGTATGACACTGATGGAATGATCTATCGTGATTATCTTCAGGCTAGCAACGACCAACTGGATATTTTAAGCTACAAAAACGAGAAATGGTGTCATATGGTCGATGTAATTAACGTTCGCGGCCAAAGTTGCTCCAAATGCACAGTGTTCTTTCACCAAGAATTTTTCATTTTGCACAGTGATTCTCATGCGGCAGTTAGTGAAGGTTGTCAATTTCAACTAGCTGGTGGTAAGACTTGTGGCAGCTACAGTGAAGATGCCTTTGGTCATTACTTTTGTGTCAACACAGAACATCGCTGTTCGTCCTCTGACTCGGCGACGACCCAAACATGGTTTGGCTGAGATTAACTCAGTTTTCTATATCAAGATTTCGGGTTTCAATTTTCCTGATAATTCACTGATTAAATGGATCCTTAATTCATCACAAAACGATGGACATTTTCGTGGGATGTTCATCGATGTATGAAATATATAATACTAAAATATAAATGCAAGGTCAGAGACACATATAGACATAAAGACACATATAGTTGTGCATGTCAAGACACTTGTTATTTGCCGAAAGCGAGTTGAATATCGCTGAATAAAAAGCGAGACAAAGTCAAGGCGAATATAGCTGTTTTGTTATAATTACACTGATGGCCTGGCGGTTAAGGCGATAGCCAACGAATCCATGTATAGCTTCAAATATTATACACTTAATGTATGCTCCCGAGGGAAATAGTGAGTTTTGTTTTTCCAAGAGTCTGAATGTTTCCCGACACGAAGTCGAGGGAATCATTGAGACTCGAGGGAAAGCAAAACTCACTATTTTCCGAGGTGTAGCGAACATTAAGTGTTTTGTTATATAGGAACCAAAACAACATGTTACACGACAATTTCATTTCAAAAAACTTTGTTATGATAATATGCGGGCAACAATTTTTCGCTTGTTCCCCTGGCGGGAAACATTGCATTTATGTAAAGTCATGTGACTACGAATGAACCAATCACATTTTAAATACACAGCACCTATATAACAAAACTTCTTATATATTAGAGCAATCGTAACTTAGCTAGTACTCATGCACAGTTACCAAGAGAAGAAAATCGCACATAAAAAGTGTAACGGGACTTTATAGACGTCACGTCGTGTTTGCTACTTTACGTAGTGCATCTCTACTCTAATGCTACTCTATGTGGTGCAGCCATGCATGTATGTTATAGGCTTTTGGCACAGAATACCTATCAGAAGTAGAACTCCTGTACTTTTTTCGTAAGTGTGATTCGTCATGATTCGTCATTGCATTTTTTAAAATTTGTCTAAAATCAACCCATTTTTAGTATTGGCAGGGGGGTGACTACCTCAAAAAAATGCACTTGCTAAGTGACGAATCATGACGAATCACACTTACGAAAAAATGGTATAGAGTTATTCTTCTGATAGGTATTCTGTGCAAAGAATATGCAAGCAAAGAAGCAAAGACAATGATTGCGTCTGAAAAGCGACATTTAGAAGCACTATAGATTAAAAGCTATTGGTTTGCCGGGAGACTGTTTTCATCTGAAATAGCAGCTAATCAAATCAATTATAATCGAATGCGTTTTTTTAGTGTTATAGAAATAATTAATATTGTACACAAAAGAAGTGTCTAACGATGAAAGCTTGTATATGATGTTAAAACAAACACCTTTAGTAGTCGAAGTAGATTTCCTACGACGATTTTCAACGACTTTCACGATCGTAAACTTTAAAACATTAAGTATCTTATATTTGTCTTCATTGATATTCATTGACTGGCTTTGCTTTTAAATGTAACAGCTGTTGTTTCACATGCACTTTACTGCGGAGAGACTTAAAAATCGCTTTTTGAATTATTAATATGTAAGCGATTATGTATACATATCAAAACCTGAGCCGATCATTGGATGATTAAAAAAAATTTTTAAAAAAATTGGATGATTAAAAAAAAATTTAAAAAAGATTGGTGCATTTGTATAAATAAGGGTGTGCATATAACACACGCATAACACTCATAAGTCGCAGATTGTGGGATCATTGACTTGGACGATAGTTTAAAAGATCTAGGAGTATTCGGTATGTATATACGTGTGTTTTCTGACATAGAAAAGTCAGTGTATTTATACACAGTATTTTGTGAACTTCAGAAAGTATATGTTATCACATGGCTGAGATACTCGACTAAAAGAATACTCGCTATAAAAAATGATGCATGAATTGTCAAGACAATGATCTAATTCGTTTTTCAGTCGAAAAGCTTCTTAGATAGATACTTTTTGACTTCTGCCTACCTGCATGCATGACTTGAAGTTGCGTACTGTGTGAATATATTCTATTCAAATATTGGTTAAATATTGATAAGTCGAAGTCTAAAGTTTTATAAAAACGAGTTCAGTATACTCATACCAGCATGCAATTGAAGGTAAAAATAGCTCTTTCAAATTTAGTGTTGTGGAAGGAGTTTGTTTAAACAAATCGAAAATGGTGTCGTCAAACGTTTGCCGTGTTCTCGTCTTTTTAATTTTGTCATGCTTGGCTGCTGAACGTGGTTTTGGCTCACCGAGGATCGCGAACAAACAGACGAAGCGTTCGTCCCCAACACCACAATGGTTCTCTTTTACCGCGTCTTTTGGTAAAAAGACCGGAAATGTGTCGATTCCTCAGAAAGATATCGACAAATTTATCAAGAACGACGTGATGCCGAAAATCAATGGCTTTAAAATGGTCGAAACAGAAGGCGTTTGGAAAGGTCAGAAAGAGGATTCCTTCGATATCGTAGTCCTGAGCAACGAATTTAACAAAATGAAGAAAATAATCGAAGACATTTGCAAGTTGTATAAGAGAAAGTTCAAACAAGATTCCGTGCTGTTGTTTTATAGCAAACAAACAGTTCAATTTTTGTGAGGCCTCGAAGACCCATGTCTATTTACTTATCTATCTATCTAAGATAACATATGCATGCAAAAATATTAATTGTCTCTAAGTACGGTTTTAGAGTTTGCGGGGATAGTCAACGTTGTCAACAAACTATAGTCGAGCTTGAACTCTGTAATCAAATTGAATAAAATACGAATTTATCGAGTATTGGAAGTATTTCTGTCGCTTAAAAAACATATGTGCGAACTCTTAATTTGTTTTGCTAATATTAATTAGAATTATGTGATTTATTTAGAAGAATTCACGGTCTCTGATTGGCTAATAGCCGTGTCTGAAATCGTCGTGTCCAACGAGTTACTTCAGAATTAACATGGGATATGACTCAGTTAGTCTTTCTTAACCACAACATTCTGCATGTGGATAACGAATAACTTTGGCTTGATAGATTTAATGCATAACAGTGCAGCCATTTAAAGCTTTTAAATTTCTTGGAAAAACTAGTATGTTCTCCGCTTGAGGTCATATGAATTAATTGAGAATTGACTACACCTTTTGAAGCACTTTTACATCTGCCAGGTATCAAAATATTTTCTGTTAAAAATGTGAAGTTTTTTGTCTTACAGAGAAGAATATTTTCGTTGACAAGTCGCTATCATTGCTTAATTGTTTTAATCTAAGTCTTGGTTTGAAATAAAGGACTGCATATACCGAGAGAACATACGCGCTTGTGAAAGGATACGATTGCTTTTATAAACTGATATAAAATTATAAATTGCTTTTTTAGAACACATGCTGTCTTTTTTTACTATTGTGGCAATTAAGGGCCACCTGGTGACAAAATTAATTTTGCTGCAGTATATATATTCTATAATTAACGTATTCAATTTCACATATTAAAATGCAGCGTTATTAAGCAAGTACTCAAGCTGTCCAGACCTTCGCAAGAAATGGCAGTCTTAAAGAACCGGCTCTCTGAAAAGGGTGTTCGTAGCCGTAGAAATTAAAAGGTACGCGATTTCTGGATAATTTATTGGATGAATTACTAAATATCACGCATAATTTCAAAGCTTTGAACTCCATTTATAGTCAGAAATTAATAATTCTGGCTTTCAAAAACATATCGGTATAATTTGTATACGTGTGTATGTATAGTAATCGATATTTTGCACCGAAAGCGTGGTGGTATCTTTAATCATCAAGCTATTTTAAAATGGTTTAGAGAATGTGTTTAAGAACAAACTAAATAAAATGTAAAAAACAGACGGTTCTTTGCTAAGACGCCTTAAAGTTGAAACGCCACGGTTCTCATAGCAACGACTACTGTAATGTGATTGAAAAATCAATCAAGCTTTTCAATTTTACCAATTTATTTACGATATTAATAAGTATATCCGAGTTCTTAGACGTCACGTCGTGTTTGATAAATTTCTCTAATGCTACTCTATGTGGTGTAGCCATACATGTAGGCTTCTGGGTTTTGATGGAGTTTCCATCCGCGTGTTAAACTCTTAACAGAAAAGTCAATCAATGATTGCATCTGAAAAGCGACATTTGGAAGCCCTCGATTAGCTACGTGGGAGATTGTTTTCATCAGAAATATCCGCAAATTAAACCAATAATAATAGTACCGTTTTTCAATGGTTATACAAATAATATTGTATACAAAAGAACTTAAAGAAGTTGCAATCGAATTATGAAAAGCTTGTACACGATGTTTAAACGAAGACGTCTGGTAGTTCTACTAGATTTTCTACATCTTTCATAATCGGAAACTCTAAAATACAAAGTGTCTTCTATTTGTCTTCATTGATATTCACAGAATGGCTTTGCTTTCAAATATGACAGCTGTTGTTGTTTGCGTAATCACGATTACAACGATCGGAAATCTTGACTTGGCTCAGTCTCGATACACGATTGACAAGACGAAAGTGTTGAAAGACCAAGTGCTTTATGGGTATGCGTTCCGCAACCTCACGATGAAGACTGTGGACGAATGTTTCTTGGCCTGCTACGAAGACTGTTTTTGTATGTCATTTCAAATGTGCAGTCAGAATACAGAATGTCAGCTGTTGTCCTCCAACCAATTTCGCTTACCGTCTGACCTGCTTGACATGACTGGATGTTCATATTATGATATGCTTCCAGATCTTGAATTGGTAGGTGTGAACTAAGGATCAATAATTCATTTCTGCATGTCTGAATAATTTCTCTTCGAACAATAAACCGTTAGTAATACGTGGATAACATCACGAAAAATCCGACTACTTATACCAATATATTATGTATTATATTCTATACCGTTATATTATTAACTACTTGTATATCACTTCAAGTGCCTAAAGGATATATCATATCTCACAAAGTAGACAATTCCTGTGTGGAAGTATATATGAAAATACATCAGCAGTTTTGCCGACGTTTTTGGCTGCATTTATATAGTCTTAACTGCAACTTTCTCACAAATTTTTCTCTCAAATTCTGTAGTTTCTAGCTTAGTAAGTACTGCCGTTATCCTCATTATCACAATTTTATAACGATTTCTAACGTTTATCATTGATCATATCTTAGATCGAAACAGGATGTAACACTCGGCCATTTTGTCGTTTGCAAGACGGCGTTTGCCATAATAACGCGAAGTACGTCATTATCACGCCATCGGATTACACGACACGACGCTTTAAATGCATTTGCCCCCCTGGCTACACAGGTGACCTTTGCCAATATGGTCCACGCAGATCTTGCCGAGGTTACGTCGACGGTAATCGAGTTTCAGGGACGTACCAGGTGCACGATAGCAACATGAATCCCTTCGATGTCTTCTGCCATTTTGATCAAAATTCAACCATGACTTGGACGCTGGTTCAGTCCTATCAGTTTCAAAATACTTCCTTTAGGACATTAAGTTTCCTATTGGATAGCCCCGTCAACGAAAACAAGCCTCGCTGGGATGCATATCGCCTTTCAAAGTCCAGAATGCAATCAATCCAAGACGATTCGAGTCAATTTCGAATGACCTGCAAATACGACACAGATGGCATGGTCTATCGGGATTTCGTTCAGGCCACCAAAAGTCAGGTGGATATCATGATTGCTCCCCAGAAATCATACGCATGCGCTGTTGTGGATGCGATTAATGTTCGAGGTCATAGCTGTTCAAACTGTTCCGTATTTTTGACGCGAAAATATCCGACTGCCCTGCATTTTTCGTACGGTTGTAATTTCTTCCCAAGTGGGTACAACCCCTGCGGCAATTTGGGTGAGGATAATTTCGGATTTTATGCTTGTGTCAATACAGATCATCGATGTTCTTCCTCGCCAACAGCCACGACGCAGACCTGGCTTGGCGGTCGGTGATTGGGGACAGGGCCTGCATGCCCGCGCCACTGATCTAAAAGCTACAACTGGATAATTATTGCTGGTTTATTTAAGGCCATTTTTAAAAATATTTAACTTTTTGTTTAAATAAGTTGTAGAGATGCATTATTTAAGGTAGACTTTGTGACTGGGAATAAATATATTTGTTATATTGGTGCTGTGTATTTTAAATGTGATTGGTTCATTCGTAGTCACATGACTTTAAATAAATGCAATGTTTCGCGCCAGGGAAACAAGTGAAAAATTGCTTCCCGCTTCTTGTCATAACAAAGTAAAGTGGTTTTTTTAAATGAAATTGTTGTGTGACATGTATGTTTTTGTTCCTGTCACAACAAAGCAATAATGTATCGGCCAATCGTGAATTTTGTTTTCCCTCGAGTCTCAGAGACAATATATCATAGACGATTTGCATTATATGCTAATTAGCACCTACCAGCTTTGCCAAAGTGCTCAACAACACCGAAATAAAGGAGCGTGATTCTGAAGTGAAGAAGTGTTATTTCAACCACAGTGACAGTAACGTATATAATCAGTATACAAAAACTTAAAATGCGTCCAATTTATGTCTACGTGCGTGCGTTCTGACCATCTGGAAGGTCATGGGAACTGTGCAATTTAAATGAATGCACCTCGGCAGGTGCCCACGTTTTGTCGCAGAAGAACCCCCTGTGAGGTAATTCGGACATGCAAATTTTAGTGCATGCACTAATTTGAATTTATTTCTTGTTGGTGTTTTATTATTAGTGTTTCAAGCGCGAAATATATTTTGAATTTAAAAGTTATTGGTTTACTTCCAATACTTTGTACCCAGGGCTTCACCCGACGCACGCTGAGGATCACATTTCACCGTATTTATATAACTACGTTGAAGCTTTGTCTTTGCAAGAGTTGTGTGGTGCGCTAATCGAATCTTGGCCAATTATCCGATGCACGATTTGATTTTGCTCGCAATGCATGATACGGCAATTCCTCCACGAGAAACGAATAAACCGTTCTTTTGATGCTGTTCGATTAAGTTTAGGTTTGATTGGGGGTAAGAATATATTTCATACGTATAGATTTTGGTCCTATTTTAATAATATCGCTGCTATTTCACCGTTTAAAGATGTGGTCGTGTATGGCGAATTGACACCAGATCAGTGATTGACACGTGCACACAAGTGAGCTCTCTCTATATATATATATATGTAATAACTTCACTCATTTGATTGATGTTCAAGTGCATCCAAAGATGGCGGATATTGAAGGAGCTATTGGAGGACACCCCAGTCTTCCTGCGTGTACGGTCAAACTGAATTCATGTTTTTTTGGGGCTATTTTCTGATACTTTTTAATGGGAAGCATTTAAATAAAGTTAAATGCTGATGCTCTGTGTTAGGACATTTTTACGTTTCACTTAAATTTGCTAAGAAAGGAGTATCTCAGGAGAATTGAGTGTAGGCTGTTGATGTTCTCGCAAATAACAGAATACACTCGAAAAATACAAATAATACGTTACCTTATCTCAGTTTTAAGAAAAAAGATATATAGAAAACTATCTTTGCAAAGAAATTATCCGAAACATACGAAGTTTCAAAATACAAAAATATGGCATTTTATTCGAACATTTCATGTAGGAAGGAAATCTTTAAAAACTGCCCCATGCTAGGATGATTGGCAAAAACAAAGGCCTATCAGTGTCTTAAAACTGTGTCAAAATTACAAAGGAAAATACAAAATTTATTCGAAAGCTAAAGCAAAAGTTTCAAGCGTACTTGTACTCACAGCGAAAAATTCATATTTACTCACCCTGTAGTGGGAAAATACAGTAGTCAGATAAGGTAGATGCAGAGGAACAGATTGCTATTGCTATAAAAAAATAAACTTTTTTTCGTTCTTGTTCCTTTGAAATAAAGAAAACCACAACAATCCGAGGTTTGCGATTCATCACTCTCGGTCAAAACAATGAGAAAAATACTTGAGCGCGCACGTAGGAGGACTGGGGTCTCCTCCAATAGCTCCTTCAATTTTCGCCATCTTTGGCTTCACTTTTAGCAATCAAGTTACTACTCCATATATGTATAGAGCTCACTGGTGCACACCGATTGATGAATACGGATCAAGCACTAACACAGTATGAATGTCGAACAACATTTACGTTCTGTCGAACAACATTTACGTTCTGTCGAACAACATTTACGTTCTCTCGAACAACATTTACGTTCTGTCGAACAACATTTATGTTCTGTCGAACAACATTTACGTTCTGTCGAACAACATTTACGTTCTCTCGAACAACATTTACGTTCTGTCGAACAACATTTACGTTCTGTCGAACAACATTTTACGTTCTGTCGAACAACATTTATGTTCTGTCGAACAACATTTTACGTTCTGTCGAACAACATTTATGTTCTGTCGAACAACATTTTACGTTCTGTCGAACAACATTTATGTTCTGTCGAACAACATTTTACGTTCTGTCGAACAACATTTACGTTCTGTCGAACATCATTTACGTTCTGTCGAACAACATTTAAGTTCTGTCGAACAACATTTACGTTCTGTCGAACAACATTTACGTTCTGTCGAACAACATTTATGTTCTGTCGAACAACATTTACGTTCTGTCGAACAACATTTACGTTCTCTCGAACAACATTTACGTTCTGTCGAACAACATTTACGTTCTGTCGAACAACATTTTACGTTCTGTCGAACAACATTTATGTTCTGTCGAACAACATTTTACGTTCTGTCGAACAACATTTATGTTCTGTCGAACAACATTTTACGTTCTGTCGAACAACATTTAAGTTCTGTCGAACAACATTTACGTTCTGTCGAACAACATTTACGCAACGCTTCTGTACTTTTTAAAGTGTGATGTGCTGTCTGAATATCCAGCATCATTTAGGTTCGCAACGCTTCTAAATAAATATGAACTGGAGTTTTTATGTTCAGAAGCTTTGTATTGAAAAGACTGGCACGCACGCGCGCCGGAGTTAAGTACCACAGAGCAGGCGTCTTCTTCGTAATAATATTGAGGAATAAAACTGCTCTAATTACCACATGCAGTTTTCCAATATAGGGATGAAAATTATAGACTCTGTTTGATAAACAAAGTCAGAGCGGTATGTAAAACAAATAATTATACTGGTTTCCTAACACAAGTAGCAGTTTTCATGTCACGTCCGCGTCGTAGATTTGGAGCATCTTAAACTCGCTAATTTGTTATTATGCGAAATCCGTTTTACATATAAAACCTATATATCTGAGCAAAAAAGTCACTCGTGAACATTGGTGTAAAGCCAATTTTCCACCGGCGATATTAGGGAGTTTACGATCTACGACGCGGTAAGCTGGACGACGCTAGTCAATTGTATTGTTAGAAATGAGCTACGAGAAATTAATTATGTTTCTAGGACTTATGAATATTCTAAATATTATGTTTCTATGACTTATAAATATTCTATAAACTTAGAAATATTCATATAAACGTTTCAATTGTGCTAAGAACCTTCGATGTCTAGCTTATATTGTAGTTTCATATAAGTTATAAACTCATTACTCATATAAGCTGTCAAACAGTCATTAAGAGGGCGTGAAAATGCCTCATTTGAAGGCGTCGTGAGAATGACAACGCTGTCATTAAACCACAACATATGCATACCTATTGTCTCGCGTGTGATGTGTCTTTGTTTTGCAAGCGCGTCGTCGAGGTGGCCGCGTCCTTAATCGCGTAAACTCCCTACTTTTCTCACGAAGCGACAATTTACTTTTGTTTCAGAGCTCTCAGCTGCAACCATCTGAAACAAATTGCTCAAATACAAAAGAATAAAGTCGCTTCGCGCGAAATATATCACTACTAAGCAAGTTACCCAGTTTGTGGCGACGTTTTGCCAACTTTCGTTTTTCGTTTCCTGTGTCATTTTGCTGTGACTTGCAGCTCAGCAGAGGGCTTTCGCGAGGCTTAGGTAATGTATTTGTAACTTAAATTTAAATTGCAATATCGGTTATGGATGCAGCATGCTTGCGAAAAGCCATTCGTGTGTTGCAAATTATGAATTATGGTTGAAATTAACAAACATTCTTTATATTGCATTTCTGTTTATTGTTGAATTGAATTTAACGAAATTCGCTACAGACAGTAATTTAGAGGCACAGCTCTGTATCGTATTGACATACTGACACCTCTAACTATACTTTATACTTTCAAGAAATCTTTCCGTGAAATTTGCTGCGATCATTATGACGTGGAAACACAATGTTGTCGACTTGTTCAACTGTTTCCTGACGATGCTAATATGGATCTATATGTCTTTTGAAGTCATCGAAGTAACGACATTCAATTCATTCGAGTTTTCGGCTCTCGTCATTGTGATAATCGTTGTATGGGCGATCATTCTAATTATTGGTATCAAAGTTTTTATGCGAATCAAAGAAAAATATGGTTTATGTCATCGAATTGACGAGGTAGAGGAAGATACTAGTCTGAATCCATTCACAGTTTTTACGTATTTCCTTTTATTTATTTTCTACGCGATCGGCTGCGGAATATTCATGAACGACCCGGAATTTGTCAGAATCAGAATATCACTAATGCTTTCGGTGTCGCTAATCCCAGTAAATATGCTGAATGAAATTAGCAAAGATGGACAGGATATTCTCCCATATTTTCCTGCGATGTTGGACCTTTACGATGGCGTCGTCATGCTGACGGTGGGAAAAGTGAACCCGACAAATCCACTATGGCTTCAAGTCGTTATTTCCTCTGTCGTCATCTTATTCTTCGTTACTGTATTTCTGGAAATACATCACAGACGATTTGAAGTTAATCTTGAAATTCATCAAAACGTGTTTGGATCGATGTTTCTGAAACGCAATATAACGCACGCACAGCTCGCAGCTTGCTGTATTTTCCTAGCTCTTCGCTTGGCGTTATTTGAATACAAGCCACTGGAGATTATTTTCGCTGCCAAAACTGTCGTAAGACTGTGCTTCCATTACAAAGCTCTTTTCAGAGATCCAGAGCAGAACTTGAATACAGTTTAAAACAATTTCAAGACAAGTAGCTCGTATTTAGTCTATACATTCATGCACTAATTTGAACAAGACGCCTGTTCTGGCGTTAACTCCGGCGCACGTGCCAGTCTTTAATATAGAGCTTCTGAACATAAACAATACAGTTCATATTCGCATTTAGATACTGCGAACCTATAAATGTTCGATCGCGAAATTCAGAAGCACGTCATCGTACTTTAAAAAGTGTAGAAGTTCAATTGTTCAAAAATGTAAATAAACCGCATGATACATTCGCTTTGTCTTACACTTTGCCTTTGGAATTCGCGCTTATATAGTTATATTAAATCTTCAATCCTGTGCAAACTACGACGTGTCAACGCGCCCATACACGACCACATCATCTTGTTAAACGGCGAAATAGCAGTGATATTATTAAAATAGGACCAGAATCAACATGTATTAGTATATTCTGACCCCAATTCAATCTAAACTTAATCGAACAGCATGAAAAGAACGGTTTATTTGTTCCTCTTGGAGGAATTGCCGTATCATGCGAGCGAAATCGAATCGCGCATCGGAAAATTAGCCAAAGCTGTACACCACAACTCTTGGGAGATAAGACTAGGACATAGATAAATACGGTCACATACACGTTTCAAATACTAGAATGTTTCGCGCCATTTCAGACTTGCGACGACGAAAAATAAAACAACAAAACAAAACCGAGGCGAATTTTCAACTCCGTCGCTGACGCCGGAGTAATTATTGCTTTATAGAGTTTTAATTTGCAGGCTTATTCGATTAGTAAGAGCAATTGTACTGTACATAACTTGATTTAATTTGTCGACTTAAAACTATACGTCACCCGAACAACAATATAGCTAATTATCAGTTTTAAAGTGTACCAAGTATACTTAATAAATACATGCAAAGAAGATCGCCGGATAAACTGTGCTATTTGTATATTTGTCAGCTATTTATATGAAGTAAATCATAAAAGTAATCACCACACAATTGCAATTTTACTTTCATGACCGCGAATCTAGTGTTATTAGGAGTGATCTGATGTTAAATTTTAAATTATTGTAAAGCTCTCCGACAAAAATCTCTCTGTAATATTAACCTAAACCTAAAACCAAACCAATGTAAATAGAAAAAACAAGAATATGCCTAATATTTAAGCTTTCGGCTTGAAAAAGAATTTTAATCCATGCACAATGAGATGACTACCGTTTTTAAGTACATACCTTTGCTCTCAACAACCGCGCGTGGTGAATTCAACACGGATCCATCTACGTGTATAGTCATGCGCAAAGCGTAGTATGGCCAGATTGTTGAAACGACCACAAGGGAAGTGAGCTGTGCATTATATGCTAATTAGCACCTACTGGCTTTGCCAAAGTGCTCAACAACACCAAAGTAAAGGCGCGTAATTCTAAAGTGAAGGAGTGTTATTTCAACCCCAGCGACCGTGAGTAACGTATATAATCAGTAAACAAAAACTTAAAATGCGTCCAATTTATGTCTACGTGCGTGCGTTCTGGCCATCTGGAAGGTCAGGGGAACTGTGCAATTTAAATGAATGCACCTCGACAGGTGCCCACGTTTTGTCGCAGAAGAACCCCCTGTGAGTTAATTAGGACAAGAAACTTTAAATTTAAAATGGGAGGGCTTTCTCCACTTTACGGCGGAGACACCTCAAAATGGCTTGTTGAATTATTAATGTTACGCGATTATATGCATTAAAACCTGAGCCGATCTTTGGATAAGTTATTTGTAAACTGCACATCTGCGAGAAATGGCTGTCCTGCGAACTCTGAAAAAAAAGATGTTTGAAAGGTAGGCCGATGTTTTAGACGATTTTAAGAAGTCAGTTATTAAGTTACGGAAGATGTTTTTTGAAATTTTACATCAGTATTTTAGAGCAATATTGAGCATCAAAATCTTTTGACAATTTCGTTATTATTAAACTCAGTCTGTTGTTAGGCATAGCCAAGTTGCATGTTGTCGAGCAATTGCCCAATAACTACCCGAAAGAGATAAATGTGCTACTGCATGTTCTTTGCAAGGTATATGAGCTATTATTATAGCTTTGCGTTTCTGATGCTAATCACTTTAGATTTGAGCCTGGCGCACACTGGTGAACTTAGCACGCGCATATCTCACTCGTGACAAGTGTCTCCAACATATATTCCCCAAACTGCGGGGATCAAATTAAGATATTTTATCATTCGTGCTCGTTTTTACGACAGGAGTGAGAGCATATCATAAATATTTTCCGCAGAAAAGGAACATGTTTTGGTGGTAATTGTCACGAGTGACTTGTGTGCATGCTAAATGTCCTGTTACACGGTGCAATTTTTCTTGCAACTTGCAATGCAATTCTTCTTTTAAAAAATGTAAATTTGACAACTACCGAACTTTTGTCTTTATTACGCTCCGTGGCGCTTACATTTTAAAGACTCCTCACTAATTCAAATCTCTTTAAACGGTAGAATTGCATTACAAGTTGCAAGGAAAATTGCACCGTGTAACATGGTCTTAAATTCACGAGTGTGCGCCAAGCTTTAGGTTTGCCAACTGCATGTCAACACGTACTGAAATGCATAGAACATAAATACAGAATACATCTTTTCCGCTCAAATTTTGATACTGATTATAGTGACATAATCTTATGCCCGAGGGAATTGAACAAGGACTACTACCCTGCATTCAAACTTTTTAAAAAAAACACACCAGTTGCCTTAGAAACGGCAAGAATACGTGATCGGTGCAAGCTTTGCGCTAAAATGGAACGCCAGTGTTGCCATGGCAAAGGCGACTAACACAAAAAAATCCAGCACCTTTTCATTCAAAGACATGTACGCATATTGATATTGATGACGATTTCTTATAAGTATATTTTTCCGAAGACACTACTAATCTCGAACTTAATAAAGCACGCTCATTTCATTTGTATTACCCAAAATTGCAGCATAACAACTCGATTTAGGCATTTAAAATAGTTTAACTTTTTTTTCCCTTTTTTTTAATCACGTCAGTGGTATAAAACGAGCAGTCAACAGAGCCCTCACAAGTTGGGGATTTGTTTATTTGAAACGCAACGCAGTGAACGCGTACCTATACTTGGGTTTTTATTCCCATTTAGACCAGCTTTGCTTTTAAATATGACAGCTGTTGGCTGTATGATCATGATAACAGCGATCGGAAATCTTCACTTGGTCCAGTCTCGATATGTCGTGGACAAGACGAAAGTGTTGAAAGACCAACTGCTTTACGGGTATGCATTTCGAGTACTCGCGATGAAGACTGTGGGTGAATGTTTCTTGGCCTGCTACGAAGAGTGTTTTTGTATGTCATTTCAAATGTGGCATCAGAATAGAGAATGTCGGCTTTTGTCGTCCAACCAATTTCGCTCACCGTCCGGTCTGCGTAACATGACTGGATTTTCTTATTATGATATGCTTCTAGATCCTGAGTCGGTAGGTGTGAATTGATCTTGCATGTACGTAGAAAAATGTTGAAAATGAGTTTTAAGGGCAGGTCGAAAACGTATTTATGTCCGGTAAATTTATTTCGTATTATAACTCACAAGGTCAATATAAGCCATTTACACTAGCCCTTAATCAATGTTTGTGCCTGTTTAAATATTTATTCTAGATCTTGATCAATATTTGTTCTAGTTCAAACGCAGGAACATATCGGGATCGACGGGATGTAACAGTACACTCATCCATGCACTTTGTCAGATTTTGGCCTCCATTTTTATAGTTTTAGCCGCAACTTTTTCACAAATTTAGTAAACACTGCCGTTATCCTCATTATCACAATTAGATTTCCAACGTTTATCATTGATGATATCTTAGGTCAAAACAGGATGTAACACTCGGCCATTTTGTCGTTTGCAAGACGGCGTTTGCCATAATAACGCGAACTACGAGGCTATCACGCCATCGGATTACACGACACCACGCTTTAAGTGCATTTGCCCCCCTGGCTACACAGGTGACCTTTGCCAATATGGTCCACACAGATCTTGTCGAGGTTACGTCGACGGTAATCGAGTTTCAGGGACGTACCAGGTTCTCGATAGCAACATGAAGCCCTTTGATGTTTTCTGCCATTTTGATCAAAATTCAACCATGGCTTGGACGCTGGTTCAGTCCTATCAGTTTCAAAATAATACTTCATTTAACAGATTACGTTTCGGCTTGGATAAACCATTCAACGAAAAGAAGCCTCGCTGGGATGTATATCGTCTTTCAAAGTCCAGAATGCAATCAATCCAAGACGATTCGAGTCAATTTCGAATAACCTGCAAGTACGACACGGATGGCATGGTCTATCGGGATTACCTTCAGGCGACAAAAACACAAGTGGACATAATGAGTTTCGATTACGCGTCGCAACCATGCTCTGTGGTCGACGTAATTGATATCCGCGGTCATAGCTGTTCCAAATGCGAAATCTTGCTCGTTCAAACAAACGTATATGGGATTCATTCTTCAATCGGATGTAGTTTCAAACCAAGCGGATACTTCGACTGCGGCGGTTTGGGTGAGGACAATTTTGGATGGTATGATTGTGCCAATCCAGCCCATCGATGCTCTTCCTCGCCAACAGCCACAACGCAGATCTGGCTTGGCGGTGGTCCATGATTGAGCCCAGGGTCTGCCTGCTCGCGCCACTGACCGGAAAGCTACAACTGGATAATGATTGATGTGCCTGATCCAATCGAGGACACAATGTATTGATGTGGCCGTTAGCTATAGGGCCTATTCCAAGAAATATTAAACTTTTTGTCTTTTTTCTTGTAAAAATAAATGTCTGAATAACAGTCTTTCGCGAAGGAAACATTTTCAGTTCCTAATAAGCTTTATTATAAGCAAAATAAAAAGATATGTTTGTATATAAGGTCCGATTCAGAGGTCGATTTAAACTCTTCATGTGTCGAATCAATGGCAATGAACTTTAATAAACAAAAACTTTAGCTCATTAACATTAGCTTCGGCGCTTGAAAAGTTCGGCGACTGAAATAGGCCTAAGTATACCAGTAATTAGTCGAAAATGTAGAGTTCGTGAATTATATATGTACTGTGAGGGCAACTTATCCGTACTGCGAGGGCAAAGATGGATTTCTCTTCAAATGGATTGTTTTTATATACGATCAGTGAACACGAAAATTGGTAGAATAGGTCGAGAACGTTTTTTGAAGACGCCTATACCATGGTTGTCGATTGAATGTATCAAAGGTTTCATGAATGTATCAAACGTTTTGAATTTGTTTAATTTTTTGTATGATTTCAAAATGAATATAATAAAGTGGAAATTGCACTTCGTGTCGGGCAGTTTTGGTGTGAAATCAAACTTGTGAATTACAAATCACACTCCCGCTTAAAAATTTCTTAATTTCGCCGTGGAATTATACACACTTCAAATTCAATCCAGGAACAGTTGGTGGAAAAATGAGTTAACTATCGGTCCTCCGGTAGGAATCCAACCTACGCTTTTGCGATGTTGTCGCAAGTGTGTTTTGGCGTGAAACATACTAGTATTTGAAAAGTGTATGTGACCGTATTTATCTACGTAACAATTTTGTCTCCCAAAAGTTGTGCTGCACAGCTTTGGCTAATTTTCCGATGCGCCGCCGATTCGATTTCGCTCGCATGATACGGCATTTCCTCCAAGAGGAACAAATAAACCGTTCTTTTCATGCTGTTCGATTAAGTTTAGATTTAATTGGGGTAAGAATATAATTATTTAATACATGTAGATTCTGGTTCTATTTTAATAATAGCGCTGCTATTTCGTCGTTTAACAAGAAGTGGTCGTGTATATGGGCACGTCGACACGTCGCAGTTTGCAGAGGATTGAAGATTTAATATAACTATATTAGGAGCTTCTGCGTGGCTAAGGTAATATATTTGTAATTTAAATTTATATTGCAATATCGGTACAAAAAGCCATTCGTGTTGGGAATAATGGATCTAATGTTTCTCTATAGCAACCCAGTATTGTGCACACATAGAGGGTTGAAATCAAAGAATATTCCTTATTTTGCATTCCTATTCATGGTTACGTGTAAACAGTGCTCTGTATCGTACCGCCATGCTGACACGTCGGAGTCAAAACGAATTAGAACAAATTACACTGACAAACAACTAGGATGAATTATGCGGGTTATAATTTTTTTTATGAAAGCTAGCCTTAAAGTCGGCCGCGTACGAGTGCTATAGCTGCTCAGCAAACAGTTACTCGTGATCATTTGTGTAAGGAAGTTCCCCAGCGTGCGACGACATCTGCCAACTTTCGTTCACGTGTCGTGTGTGATTTTGCTGTGACTTGTAGCTTAGCAAAAAACATTCGCGAAGCTTAGCCTTTCGTAATGTATTTGTAACTTAAATTCAATTGCAATATCGGTTATGCATGCTTGCGAAAAGCCATTCGCGTGTTGCGAATTATGCACTTGTAGTCTGATTGTTTCTCTGGCAACCCAGTATCACACCGCATGACACACATAGGGGGTTGAAATTAACAAGCATTCTTTATCATAGCATTCCTATTTATTGTTACGTGTAAACAGATTCCACACAGTGTCAGTAATTTAGAGGGACCGAGCTCTGTATCGTATTGACATACTGACACCTCTAACTATACTTTAAAATATCAAGAAATCTATCTGCGAAATTTGCTGGGATCGTTATGACGTGGAAACACAATGTTGTCGACTTGTTCAACTGTTTCCTGACGATGCTAATATGGATCTATATGTCTTTTGAAGTCATCGAAGTAACGACGTTCAATCCATTTAAGTTTTCGGCTCTTGTCATTGTGTAATTGTTGTATGGGCGATCATTCTAATTATTGGTATCAAAGTTTTTATGCGAATCAAAGAAAAATATGGTTTATGTCATCGAACTGACGAGGCAGAGGAAGATACTAGTCTGAATTTTCTTGCGTATTTTTTGTTATTTATTTTCTACGCTATCGGCTGCGGAATATTCATGAACGACCCGGAATTTGCAAACTCTGTCAGAATCAGAATATCAATAATGCTTTTGGTGTCGTTAGTCCCAGTAAATATGCTGAATGAAATTAGCAAAGATGGACACGATATTCTCCCATATTTTCCTGCGATGATGGACCTTTACGATGGCGTCGTCATGCTGACCGCGGGAAAAGTGAACCCAACAAATCCGCTGTGGCTTCAAGTCGTTATTTCCTCTGTCGTCATCTTATTCTACGTTGCTGTATTCCTGGAAATATATCATAGACGATTCGAAGTTCACCTTGAAACTCATCAAAACGAGTTCGGATCGATGTTTCTGAAACGCAATATAACGCACGCACAGCTCGTAACTTGCTGTATTTTCCTAGCTCTTCGCTTGGTTTTATTTGAATACAAGCCACTGGAGATTATTTTCGCTGCCAAAACAGTCGTACGACTGTGCTTCCATTACAAAGCTCTTTTCAGAGATCCAGAGCAGGAACTAAAACCAGGGGCCACTGAAATTTAACCCTGGGTTACATTAACCATGGAGCTTTTGAACAACCGGCCCTTTTTCAGGAGGCAGTTAACCATGCATTTTGAACTCGTATTTAAATTGGAACCAAACTTCTTGCATCCGTCGAAGTTTTCTGAACATAAATTCTAATTTATATTCTAATGTTGATTTAGAAGCATAGCAAAACCGCGAAGAAGCGTTAGATATAAGATATTAGGAATTTAATATTACCAAACTGACCTAAGACAGAATTTCTAACGGGAAGCTTCAAATCAACCGCAGAATTCATATTAGAGAAGGGAAACTCGTCTGATGTGACACGGGTCATAGTGAATCTTTGGTCATTCGTGCCACCAAAAGTCGCCGGAAAAGTCGCCCGCACGCGAGAGCAACTCGCTTAAACCAATGGCCACGAATGACATTTTGCTATATCAGCACATAGCTTCTAGCGTGCGCCGGCCTTTAGTTTTTAGAGTACGCTTGGAACAAACCGACAAACGTCGACGAAAAGTAATTTAGCTTGTAGGTACACCACGTAAGTACATTTAATACTGCAAAGCTTTCGGTCCGTTGACGGGTTAACGGACCGACAGCTTTGCAGTATTAAATATACTTACGTGAGGTACCTACAAGCTAAATTACTTATCGATTGTCGCCATGCAAACATTCATGAATATTATAAACGTCGACGAATTCGCGAGTTCATTGCACGAGTGCGAAACAAGTAATAATGCTATAATTTATTAAACAAAAAATTAAAATTATGTTTCTGATGTTTTATCTTTGTTTATGTCGTTAAGCTCCAATTCCACGGGCTAAATTTTCAAGCGTAATGCAAAATATTTTGCCTGCTTCTTTTGAACTGTGAGCAATGAAGCAGAAATAATTTTATTGAAGTGGTCGAAATTCAAAAGCACCCGTGGATTTAAGCCTCAGGGAGCGAGTTATGCGAGGTATGTTAGTTAAAACTGCATATTATGAAAGACCAAAGCCGGTTTTCCACTAGCATTATTTCTCGAAAAATATCGCTGGTGGAAAACGGGCTTAATTATTCAGGTCAAGGCTTTGATGTGATGCGCTTTTTACCTCGTACAGAGGCGCCTTACCATGCAGTAGCTGAAAATTTGAATAAATATATATACCCTAACTGTCATTCTATAATCACACCAGGAGTTGTTTTCGAAAAATAACCACATGCGGTTGTTGAGCACGCAGGTCCAACTTAGCTAAGTTTCTCCCACTCGTGCAGGCTCATATTGTCAGCGGACAACTTACACAAAATTGAGAGCAAGGCGTAAAACGAAAAGCTTCTAATTTTTCATGCGAAGACCGCTGGAAAACTGAGCCCTCTTTACCGGGAGAAAATTTGCCGAATATGACCAATGCGGAGTGCAAACGTACGTAGGTAAATACGGTAAGAGTAGTCATCTCTTGTATAGATGTACCAAGCTGCCGTGACTGTTAAGGCTAGTTTCCACTCAGGAAAAATCTCCTTTGGATTGGAACGGACAGGATGATTTCACGATGGACTGTGGGGATATACGATCTTAAAATTACCACTGCTTTGGATGCGCTGAAAGGCTATACAGGTTGCTGTGAAGTGAAGTGCATTAGCAAAATCAACATGGAAGATATCTACAGCTATGATACAGCAGTGTTTGGATACAATCGGAGCGAGTTTTTACAGAAATGGTTGAATACACCAGGCACTCACACCCGGGCTGCAATCGACAAAGAAGGATCGATCGTTGGTTATGTCGCTGCAAGAATGGCGTTCATTCACGACGAAGGTTATAAAATCGGTCCTCTGTTTTGTGAAGATATTGAAGTTGGTAAAGCGCTTCTCAAGGGAGTGTTTGAAGATATTCGTGATCATAGTTTGTCATCGTCAAACTCGGTGATTGTCGACAGTCCAACTGAACGAAATTCTCAAGCCAAAGAACTCATGAAAATCGTACAAGGAAAATACCTCGGATATAATGAATTTATGACCACGAATGGTCTTCCGAAAGTATGCTTTGACCAATGGTTTGCCATAACATCGCCTACAAGTGGCTAAAAATTTACAGGCAGCCTGAATTTGCATGAGATATTTTTCAGCTGTCAAATTATTAGGGTTTAAAGGGTGTTAAGTTCGAGTGGAATTATACACACTTCAAATTCAAGCCAGGAACAGTTGAAGAAAAAATGAGTCGACTACAGATCCTCCGGCAGGAATCGAACCTACGCTTTTGCGATGCCGCTGCAATGCTCTTGCCATTAGGAGGACCTATAGTTGACTCATTTTTCCTTCAACTGTTCCTGGCTTGAATTTGAAGTGTGTATAATTCCACTGGAACTTAAGACCCTTTAAATCCCTAGAATTTACGTGCATCGTCTATATTGACAGAATTCCGAAAATTTTCTCGTGTTCAAATAAAATAATCGCGCAAATTTGGGCAGGCTATGTTAATTTCGGATTTGAAATACACGAATCAAAATTTGTGCTTTCAAGCAATGCTCTTGCCATTAGGAGGACCGACAGTTGACTCATTTTTCCTTCAACTGTTCCTGGCTTGAATTTTAAATGTGTACAATTCCACTCGAACTTAAACCATAGAATTTACGTGCATCGTCTATGATTGACAGAATTCCGAAAATTTTCTCCTGTTCAAATGATCACGCAAATTTGGGCAGGTTATGTTAATTCCGGATTTGAAATACACGAATCAAACTTTGTGCTCAAAATGTATTATTTTTATTAACGTAACTGGGCGTTGAAATTCCAAGCCTTTAGGAAAAAAAACTGATAATTGAAAATACACTGAAAATATAACTTCCTAACGGCGTTTGCCGAAACCGGTCCGTTTTGGCATTTTCAGATATGGCGGGAGCCTTGAAACTTCATTTTCAAAGGAAACATTCTGATTACTGCGCTACTACAGTTCTGCTAGAATACTGAAGTAAAACATATATTGATAAACATTTTCAGAGGATTAATATCGGGATTAGCGATTAAGGTTAAGGATTAGATTTGTTAACATGTTTCACGTCAAGTCATATACCTCACATGAAGTAAGACATAGTATTGCAGGCTCGCACAAAGTAACAAATTAAATATTTTCTCGAATTCGAATTTTTGAATTAAATGTCTAGAAAGTGGCTTGTCAATTTTAGCTTTTATAAATTCCAAATGTTTATATGATGATCCAGAGATTAGGAATGCGAATTTCGAGTAGATTTCCTCTTCCAATTCTGTGCGCTTTCATATTTGTTTTTGCACTGATCGTGATATGGTTCCAAAGATTATCTAGCACGACAGCAATCATCCATGAAAACAGCGATGAAAATGTGAGAAGCTTCAACTTCAAGGATGCTGATGAGGTATTAAACGATTGTGTCGTTGTGATGAATGATCAATTTTATAGTGAAAATGTTCGAGATTTTATTGTCGATTACTTTGGTCGGCTTTAGTCTTAAGATGCTTTGCCACGTCTGATTCAAAAAATTAATAATGAATTTTGTAAACAATGCCTGAAATTCCGTTAAAAATTAATTTAATTTTCATTTGTCAGTGTCGCAAGTCCCACCAAAAAAGGCAGGGTTTAACTTATTATTTGATTAAACTGCCCTAGTACATTCTCCCAGGTGGGGGAATTAAATATTTCCTGCATACATAGTATTTTAGAACCTAGGTACGCTATAAGTACACTCACACCAGGCTAAGATTAAGTTTTGTGCAGTTTAATTCTACCTGAGATTGCATTGTTCATGATTTGACCACATCTCCCCTGGTCAAGCAAAGCTACATCCTATTTTGTTTAAAAGAATTGACTTTGGTCACTTCTGATTAAATGGCCATCGAGTGATAGGGCCAAGTGATACAAACTATATAATTATGTTTAAATTTTTATAATCACATTTGTTCATTATTTTTTTATCTGTGGTAGATTTTTAGACAGTGTATTGGTACAGACATCACACTTGATAATTTGCATGAAATTTTGAATAAATGGAGTAACACAAGAACAGTGAATTGCAGGTATGAACATGCAACTGCCTGATAAGGCTACCTTTGATCTAAAATGATCTAAGGTGATCTAGGGATCTAAAGTGATCAGGGGCCGATTGTATGAAAGCTGGATAATGCTATCCACCGGATAGTAGTTTTTTCAATGGCTTCATTAAAAAAACAGCTGTTGTTATAGAAATAACTTTGATTAAAGTTCATTTCTTTTCCCTGCGTCGAAGCAACCTAATTATCTCTTGAAATACTTTATTTTAGTCTCAAATTTATGTCAGAGCTATTAAGTTCTCATAACTAAACATAATCACAAAATTTCAACTTGTTTCATAAATAATAATAATAGATAGAATCAATTAAATACCACAGAGTGGATTTCTATTTTGCAACCCTCCCAGAGTGTCTGAACCAATGTTTTCTTGAATTTTAGGTCAGCGTACGACCAATTTTCACACTTATTTTATTTCCGCAAGAGTGACACAGAAGTTGTTTTGTCAGAAACATTTTCTCAAACGGTAAATTTTTTCAAATTGTAATGGTTGCTTGCACATTGGACAAGCTTTGAACCAGAATAATAATTCTGTACTGATGGAAAGAGCATTATTTACTAAAATACCAAAGTTTAGTCTTAAAATGTTGAATATATTATCTTTAAAATTTGCAGATTTTGTTTGTTTTTGAATTAGAATTGAAAGATTTGCACTAGGTACTGATTTTTGAATGATATTTCTAGGTGTCGAAATGGTTTAATGGCAATAAAGACCTTTTAGAAAAGACAAAACACCAGGTAAGGTCGACTTTGGGCAAATTGTATTATCAGTATTGGACTCTAATTTGTATTGAAAGCTTTTTCGATTTTTCATGCCATGGAATATTGAAACTTTGATCGAACCTTTCATTTAGTTTATCTTGGTGATGATGAACAAGTTTACAAAAGATGCAACCCTGATAAATCCTTTGCGAAACAAGAGGCCTGGTTTTGCTGGTGGACCTGATGTGGACAAGTAGTAAGTATAACCAGCAGAGCAACTTCAAAGGGCAACTTCATAGTCCTTACCAGACTGAGAGGATATTAAGTATAAAATATTTACTGACCTCTGACTGGTATATTTCCCACATTACTACTGATGTGCGTTTGAAAAATTATGTGTATGAAAGAATATGAGTAGCTATAATTATATACACAGACAAAAAACACAAACTTTAAGCCATACAACTACCAAATTACCCCGGCAAAATTACCCCGTATTTCAATTGTATTTATTTATTTATTTTAGCGTGAATCAGCTAGTTGACAAGAGCAAAGAAAGTTGCGACTTTTGTAATTATCGAAGGTAAGCACTGAGGAAGTAATTGCATGCTTTCTTTTGAACTTTGACGGAGCGAAAATTCACCTTGATGGAAAATGTATCCTAACACGCGGGAATGTTGCGAGAGTTAAGGAAGGCGCGCGAAACACGAGCCGAAATATACATTACAAATACAGGGTGTATAAAAAAATTCGAATCCAACTTTGACAAGCTGCTGTGTATAAAATACTAAAGTAAACGATATAATTTTTATATGGCAACAAAGATTAGCTTATTTAGTTTACGATTATACCGTTCTTATATCGACACGACCAAAACTGGCCGAGTTATCGTTGCCCGAAAAATTGTTGCTCGAAATAAATTTTTCCGCCGATGGGAATTCGAAATGAGACCTTCAGACAAAAGAAAATGCAAATTTAATTAATGAGGCATTGTGTTCTTCAAACTTCTATCGTTGAACATTGAATAAGCAGAATTTTTGCGATAAATTTGCGTTTTAGTTTTCAGTAATGATTAGATTTTAAAGCCCTTTGGGACTAAATTTTCAATAAAACAAACGTCCAGTTCCCATCGGCGGAAAGTGGTGATTTTTATGAACATTTTTTGTCGAACCAGTACTTCTTAATTTTTCAACTAAATTACACGTACAACGTGTCATTTGAAAGAGAAATAAATGAACTTAACAATGGCGTAAAAATCAACCAAATTTGTCAAATATATTTTGCATTATTACACGCAAAATTTCGATTCGAATTTTTTTTATACACCCTGTATATTTCGCAAACTTGAGCGTCCTGCAACAAAGCGTTTGTTCATACTCGCCAAATAACGGGTGACCCTTATCGTCTGGATCTTAGCCGTGACGTGTGTTTACACAAGGAAAATCTACTAGTTCAAAGCTGGGTCGGGTCTATACTCATGTAAGCTATTGCTATCGATTGCTTGTGCACATGTATATTTAACGAAGCAATGTTTCAAATAACAAGTTAGCTTTTTTTTATTTCCTAAAGTGAATGAAATTTTTATTTGCTGAAGCGGATATAAGAGGACGTTTTACTATTCGGCGTGCAAGCAAATTTTGAATAAAGTGAGTCTTGTTTCCGAGGGGACAAAAATTAGGCGTAATTTTCCCGTATATTTTGCAGTTGAAAAAACTAAAAATACCCGTGTTTTCAAATACCCCACTAAAAGAACAAAATTGCAGGTGTTAATTGGTGCGAACAAAACGCATAACTTTGTTTAGGAGGGGAAAATGAAATGGAAAACCAATGGAACAATCGAATTTGTCATTCAGAAGTGCGTCATTTTATCCTACCTATCGACTAATAATATAGATGCACCACCAATGCACAACGTATAACAAAAAATATAGAATCGTGACTCTATTAGAGTATATAGAATCGTTTTGACTGCTAAATTATGAATGACTGCCACCTTCCATGCAGCTGTGCGTGCAGAAAACCCTTTGGCTTTGCATATTCGGCTTTCATCAGACAGTAGACCATTTTTTATCTGGATGCACACCTATATTCGAAATCATTTGCTTCCTTCTGACACGAGAAGATTGTAGCTGTGTGTGGCCAGTCATTGCAGCCTGCGTACGTGACCTTGTGTATTTCCTTGGCCTTGCTATTTTGTTCTAAGTGCAGGAAGCGCGAACGGCAGGTGGACGGTAGCATCTATTTCGTGATACAGTATAGGATTATTCTGACTTGGGCCGCGTAAATCCTGCATAACGAAGGAAGTGTACCGTGGACAAATTGGGTGAAAAATGTGCAGCCAACGAGGTTTTTTTCTCTTTACATTAAGCGCTTTGGTCACTTTAGCCTTGACAATCTGGTCAGTTTTTTGCATCACGTTTATCATCTTCCGCGATGGCGTCGATTATGCAAGCATTATGATTTCAGGAAGCTTGCCTGCTTTTATAATTATGAATTGTCTGGCCATTAATGTGCAGTTTGGAGTTTGTGTCTTGAGAGAATACCAAAATAATGCATCATGTCTTTGGCGTTTCGCATTTTGGTACTATTCCTTTTTTCCCCTTTTTTACACAATATGTATGGAATTTGGTCTGAATCTTAAAAGTTTCGAAAACGTAAACTATGCATTTTGTTGGCTTTCTCCGCTGGCGCTTTTGTTGCATATTCATATCACAGAGGATGAACGCGGTCTGCTACCATTTTGCCCGGCGATGATAGATATCTTGGATTGCATTGAGATGCTCACATCAAAATTAACGACAGCAAACCCAGCAAGGATTCAAGTTACGATCTGTTTGGCTGCTTTAATGTTCTACCTTTCTTCCGTCTTTGAAATATATCATTTCAGGTATCCAAGTAAAACCGTCCTTTCCGAACGAATAGTTGCGTTTGTTCAATTATTTTTTTGCTTAATGTTCCTGGTTTTTCGCTTGGTGTTGTTTGCGTACAATCACCAAGAATTAATCTTCGTTTTCAAGATCATTATAAGGTTGTACATCCATTACAAACATTTGTGCAAACCCCAACCTCATACAACATAATTATAACATATAACATTATGACATGCAGAAGGAAACTTTGCAATTGAATCAGTCTTTGTTTGCTTCACCTTCAACAGAGACGACCGGAAAAATTTATTGTGCAGCATTCAACTGCCAAGAAATTTACTGAGTGGAACTTTTTTTTGGAGTTTTGCTATGCACAAAAAATTTGTATCTCATTCGATCATTAATGTTTATATCCGCGCCTTTAAACGTTTAGTAAACTTAGTTTAGAAAATGGTGTAAGAACGACATCAAAGTAATTTTGTTCTGATGCAATATACTGCATTTGATATCAGGCATCATTCCCGGCGCATTATACTATCATATATATACATTTGTTTTTTTTAGACTTGCTTAGCATACTAAGCTACATAGGTGTGTATATATAAAGGTATAACATAGTTCATTCGTATACCGTATAGTGTGGTAGAACAACTATCTAGAGAATTATACCAACATGCACTTGTCGAAGTTTTAAAATTTTTGAAAACTCAATGGTTTGAAGAGTAATTTATAATTTAATGTGAGATATCCCGTGGTCTTGACGGGAGCAAGGCTTAGTATAAAATTTAAATATTTAAAACGGGGCTCATTATACAAAGGAGGCATGATAATAAACAATCCTTTAATTCCTCAGAGCTCGAAGCTATTTCTGAAGTTTCCTCATGCAGAAGCTATTTTGAAGCTAACTACACAAGTGTAGTGCCCAATACGATTTTTGATCTCTGCTTAAACATCATTGCCATGTATGTTCTCACTTGATCGACTTGATAATTGAGTCCATGTCCTGAAAACCAGGCTGTCCAATCCGTGCACCGAACCATGCGCATGCTCCGTGACGTTCTGCCACTTCCTGATATACGAATTTCAGCTGAGTGTACATATCTCACGAACGGCTGGTATTCCATCAAATTATGGGAATATTCTTCGTGTAAATTCGAGATGATTATGGAGAAGTATACCATGAGGACGAAAAGTGATTTTTTTCCTATAATGTTAAGCATTTTGCACACTACCGCCTCGACAGTCTGGTCAATTCATTGCTTCGCTTTTACAATCGTCAGCGTTGGCATTAATTATGTCAGTATAATAATTTCAGTAAGCATGTTTGTTTTTAGCTTTATTTTTTTTCTGGCGTATTTAGCGCAAATTCGAACTTCCGTCGAATTTCAATTCGGACACCGTAAATCATGGCATCGAGAACTTTTGTTGTGTTCCCTGTTACCCGTTTTCTACGCGCTCTGGATTAGTTGTACAAACTTCATTCTGAAACCGGTTCAGTTGGATCATAGAATTATTTCAGTTTTCAGAATTACAAATAACATATTCATCTGGCTTTCCCCTCTACAGTTTCTGGTGCATATTTATATCACAAAGGATAAACGCGGTCTGTTACCATTTTGCCCGGCGATAATAGATATCTTGGATTGCATTGAGATGCTCACATCAAAAACATCTCCTACAAACCCCGTGTGGGTTGAAACAACGATTTGTCTAGCATTTCTGGTGTTCTACATTTCTTCAATCTTGGAAATATATCATCTCAGATATCCTGAAATTTCTAGTGAATCCATCCTTTCCGAACAACGAATTGGACTGGCTCAACTTGTGTTTAGTTCTATGTTCCTGGCTCTTCGTTTGGTGTTGTTTGCGTACAACCCACAAGAATTTATTCTCGTCGTCAAGACCGTTTTAAGAGTGTACATTCACTACAAACATTTGTCAAACCCTCAGCTTTATAATTATTCAAGAATGCTGTCGAAACGTACCTCGGAATCTAGCGATACATCATACTCATCTCATAGTCAGTTAACAGAATTTGAAGAGCGCACGGATGAAGAAATATATATGGAATGAATTAGCACTTGATGCGCTTTACATTCGAGATAGACACACACAACAAACATACATCACAGCCGGAGAACTTTTCATTTAGGCAAATCGTATTTACTTTTACGCTATTAATGGCGAAACAATTAACTACTTTCCGAGCCACTGCATGAGCTAATAACTTCATTGTAATTTTGTAATATAAACATGCAAGAGAAAATATTTCTGATCTTGATGTGGAAACTGTACCTTGTTTTAATTAACGTTTAGAACTTATTTAATATAAAGTTCAATAGGTCGTATCTTAGAAGCATTGGTACTATATTTGTTAATCATTGGTGCAAAATAATATAGTTGGGCCACACGAAAAAGCTTTTTTCCTGAAATATATTAATTACTGCATGCAGTATCACTAATAACATAACTGTATATAAATGTATATCGTTTATAGGTAAGCTTCACGTCATTTGTATGGCATAGTGCATGGCCGAATGTAGTTGTGCAAACAAAGATTATAATTCAGTTTGTAGATTGCTATGATATTTGATTACTGAAATTTCTCCACGCTGATTGGTTGTCGTTCAAGACTTTGTAACACGATATTTACCAGTGACCGGTTGCATGAAGGCTGTATAGCGCTAAATCCACTGGATAGTTAATTTTCAACCGTATTGCATGTAATTACAGTTTACCCGCGTTAAAACATCAGCTATTCCATATTGAAAATGCCTGGAAATCAATAATATTACTGCTTTGAAGCTGACAATTTTTGAAAAGGATCACAAAAAGTTGAAAGATGAAAAGTTACACCGATCAATGGGCAATTTTAGAGCCAGTTGGAAATAAACCGGATATCGCAATTAGTTTTTGTTCAATCGGCCTCTCGACGTTTTAAAGTTACATGGAAACTGAAAAAAAGTCGATATTTTTCCAGATATTTTGCGGGCAGTTTATTGTCTGATCAGTTCCATTCTTTGGAGGAACTATTTTTATTCAGCTCATGCCAGTATGGCGTAGAGCAAAATTTCGTGCAAATTCACTGTCTTTGGATATATCAAAAACTTTGAGAATGCTTTTGTTTTCAGACAGTCGGGGATGGATAGTTTTGGTTATCTGGAGTCAAAACATTCTGTGACTAGTAAGTAAGGACAAGAGCCAATCAAACTGCGTGTTTGACGTCATTATGAGAAAGGACTATTGACAATCGTATTTTTTTAGTCGCTAACACGTTTAAAATCGAAAGATTTCATGGTCTGGCCTTGTGGAAACATCACAGTCCTTTGGAGTTCAACGAGGATCAGGTAATACTTGAATGATAAGTTTCCATGTTGATAATTCACCCCCCCGCCCCAAAAAAAACGCCGCTAATCAAGGCTGCTAAAAAACAACGATTTGGATATATATGTAGTAATTAGTATTTTTACAGTTTTTAGACCTTATGGAATTATCTCAAAAATGGTATGTATATTATAGTGACTCTTGTTTGTCTTTCCAAAGCGGTACTATACTTTATCTTTTGCGTCGTCTCCCACGTCATGATACTCTCTCGTTAAATTCGAGCTTGATGCTTGGAGTCGCTTACTGCAATTCATGAAAATTATCCTCTCTTGGTTGCCGCTGGATAAAAATCATTTGGAAAAGTGTACTTTTCTCATTTTATTGCAGGTTTAGAAAATGTTTTGAAGTGGACAAATCCTTCACACTGCCAAGTTTGCTGTGGGATATTTTACCAAAGGCAAGCGCCAGCCAAATACACCCTCACGCACACATGTTCGTATCAAAAGATTTCTATTTTTGTAAGTATTTTATTTGGTGAATTTAGTATTATCCTGTTCATTTGACACTGGATTGCATAGTCTCTGTCTTAGAGGGTTGTTGTATGGAAGTAGTCTATCCAGTGTAAAGTTTTAATATCAGTACCTAATTTATTTATTACTTGTTTTTCATCTCAGCTGGATGGGAGAAAATATTCAGAGCAGCAAACGAGTATAGAACGACTGAAAGTCGAAGTTATTTTAGCGATCTTGTTAAGGTAATTTCGTAGGAGATAGTTGTTTTGTATTAAGTGAAATCACATACGCCAGGCATTTATAGTCTAGTTATAACCTAGTATAAGTCTTTTATTTGTTAGATTCATACAATTCTTCAGTTGAATATAACGTATGGGGACGCAGTGGCCTATGTGTCTATAGTAAGTTCAATAGACTGAATAAAACCTTGGGTTCAGATCTGGGTGAACTTTCATGTATCGTTGCTTCAAACGAGAACCAGAGTTGCATGAGGTTTGAAAAGCGAGAGTTTATTTGAGAGTTTCATTCCGTTTAACACTATGTAATTCTATTCTAAATATTTTTTCTGTTTAGACTCCGAGCGTGTCCAACGAGGTGGTCATTCTGAGCAAGCGACCAGGAAATGATCTTTTTAAACTGTTTTATAGAATAATGAAAGGTAATTTGACTCTACCACGCCATTATCCGTACATTGTGCACTCGATTCTAAAACATGCATTCCTTTATTCTTCGGCAGCATTCGTGAAGTTAAAGCTGTACGCCATCACCGCGGGCGCTGTTTTCCCCCCACTGGTATGATAAATACGATATCATTTTCGACCCCCCTGCCCTCGCCGTACCCGTTAACTTCGTTTACTTATTAAGGAACCCACCGACTCAAGGAGAGATGTTCCTTGCATAATAAGGATTGTTAATCGTGGCGCTGTCGACAAGTGAGTTTTAGTTACATGACGTTTAGTTGTTTACCGCTGAACCAAGGATAACTGCTTCGTATTCATTGAAAAACATTTCTATTCTAGGATGCGTTCAGATATTAGCTCGATGGAATTATTCGGGGTAGGTGCTTTACGCGACACATTCCTATTTTTACAATGTAAGCAGAAATGATGGCAGCCTCTTTGACTTAAAATGTCTCATACAGACTAGCCGCAATAATCTTGCAGGGGCTATACACATCCACACAGTATATTTCTCAACAAAACCCAGGGCTTGTTCGGTTCAATTTGCGAGGTTTTTCTAAGTTCACATTTCCCTTTTTATGCAGAGCGGTAACATCAATGTGGACTTTTGGGACTTTAGGAAAAAGCTTCTTGAGAATCTTGAAAAGTAAACTAGCAGGTATATATTAAAAACTTCAATCCATATTTCAGTAGATTTCATTACCTTTATTGAAGATAGAACGACTTCATATCATCCCGTTTTCATAACATATTATCCGGATATGTTCTGTATTGCTTGTTTCCTATCTGTCGCATGACAGTAGAATTTTCTTTTCTCTAGTTCTGAGACCGAGAACATGCAGTCAGTCCATTGCCATGACACAGTTAGAACACTGCACACTGATGTCGGTGAGTCGAACAGGCAGCTTGCGATCAAAAGTACGGAAGCGAGCCGACGAAAAAATAATCAATACACAAATCAACCAACAATCGAATTTAAAAATTATTTGGCCTCATCAAACGAGGCTATATGTAGGATGGATTTTTATTGGGTACAAACTTGTACAATATACACAATACGCAGGACTGGTGGGCTTGATAATTAGCCATCTGACGTATGAAATGTAGTCTGTTATTGATAAACCTGCACACTGCATTAGCTTTTGTTGATTTTCTGCCGGATGTTGCGAATATTCGCATATTCAGGGTATTCCAATTGGCGATCAATATTTTCCAATATTGCGATCAATATTTCCAATATTACGATCAATATTTTCCAATATTGCAATCAATATTTTCCAATATTGCGATCAATATTTTCCATTTAAATATTGCCATCAATGTTTTCCAATATTACGATCAATATTTTCCAACATTGGGATCAATATTTTCCAATATTGCCGATCAATATTGCAAAATTCATTAGCTAATTGCTATTGCAAGTTGCAATCGAAGCCCGCAAGTTCCCTTTCATGTTGCAAGTTGCAACCGCCAATTACTGAATTAGAACTAAAGTTGCAATCATAATAAACCATCGTTTCTATAAACTATACTAACATGAATTTCATCTCGTTGTTTAAATACAGCTTAAGTGAGTTAATAATTCAAACTCCAAAACAGTACGAAGACAAAGTCTTCAGGGACTAAATGTCAAACGTTATTCTTCGAATATTTTAATATGCAGCGAATATTTGCAGTCGACAAAGCTTTGAATTGACATTTGTTTTATCAAAATTCAAATTTAGACTTTGAAAACCCATTGTGACTGTGTGATAGCTTTTTATAGTTGGTTATGTCTTTGCAGAACGACATATCAAGCTCATATAGCCTACGAATAAATTGCAAACTGCATCCTTTTAACACAGCAAATACGGAATAAACAGAATACACACCTACCTGTTTAAAAGACTTGGCATAGCTTATATAGATTCTAGATTGTTCCTCCTTCATCTCTTAGTCTTAAACTGCATCTGCGTCGATAAAAACATCGATATTTGTGCTTATAAACAAATAAATCTGCTCATTTTGCTTCGTGAAATGTTTTTACAACTGAAATAGTTCGCAAATTCGCAAAATGACAGTTAAATAATTTGCTGACGTTCTCAATAAAATACAAACTTCCTGTCTTAGCCAATCAGGACGTAGCTATTGGACGTTGCTGATTACCAGTCTTTACTCGTTAAAATTTCGCGGAATAGTACTTTTATTTTACATAATTTGACAGAGTATAAATGCGACAATAGAATTTAATCTTGATTAATTTACGAAATTCAATTTATATATCTATACATGCGCACACATATATCTTTAAAAACATGATACACATTGGTTGCCGTTTCTACAGATCATTGCAAACATCTATTCCTAGAAATCCGTCTTGCACTGCTTCAAATGCCGATTCAAATGACAGCACTTGTCGATAATACGTTCTGATGTTTCGTTGAACGCTTGCTTGCGCTTTCTTGTACTTTTTGGCATTTAGTACTTTGTCGATCAAATATCGCATCCAAAGAACATTTGAGTATGGTTTATAAATCTCCCAGTTGTTGCTAAAAAAATCAAATTTCGTATATTCAAAATAATGCAAAGAACTGATCTCAAAATAAGACCTGGATAGCGCATCTCGGCGGTCATATTGGCAGCCATCTACTATGGTGTTGATAGGAACTGAACCTGAGAAACTTTGACAGCGTAATTTTACTAACCCATTTGTTTTCTTCATAAGTCTGTAGACCTGAAATTGAAAGTCGCCTTTCCCGTTGAATATGTCGGGATCTTTGGAAAGGTCGCAAAATACCGTTACTCCATCTATAAGTGTAAATAAAACGACTGAATTTTTAGATTTTCAAACCATTTCAAAGGCAATGTTTTTGCATGGGCTAAACTGTTGCTGTATACCTTTTGCGAGTCTTGACAATGTGAAATCGATGATGCTGACAAAAACACCAGCGCTATCGACGGAGATATCATTTCCACATAACTTGTAGTGAACTGTCTTGCATTTTGTTCTTTTGATAAGCACGTTACCCCAGTGCAAATCGCGGTGCTCAAACGTCAGCGATTTCTCAGCAACACTGAGAGACAATGCAACTTGTTGTAAGACACTCAACGCCTCTTGAAACGACTTGAATTCGAAGCGTTCCAGGTCTTCGCCTCCATCAATAAACTCGAAGACAACGAAGTATTGGTCCGATTGGTACATATCTGTGCAAAATGGTAGTAAATATTGAGGTAAAAATTTCATTTAGAAAAAATAGTTTGACCTGCGCCAGATCTGTGTGTACAATATTAGAAGGATTAATCTGGGGGATCGGAAAAATGGCGGGAAAAGACTTTCGCCTACCGGGTCGTTCGTTTTCACAGATATGGCCGTTTTTCCAGCTGTCCCATTCTTGCAATAATTTTTTCGGGTAACAGTCTTGAACGAGCATCACCCTAAATCAATCGCGAATGAAATGTCGTGCATATTTGAAACTGAAAACTTTGTAACTGAATCTGGGCTTGCAACCTTTGAATTTCTGATGCAATTTAGTTTGATTCCAAAAAGAATTGCCTTGTCATGTTGTCCTTAAAAAAGACAATAGCCTTTCGCATGAAATTTTTACTAAACAGTAGACTTTACCTCTTAACTTTTATGAAATTTGAGCAAGCGTTGGCACTGCAATCGTCCTGAATCGAGAAAGAAGCAGATGAAGAATTTTAAAATGACATATTGTTTGCAATCTTATATAAAATATATCCGGTAAAATGGTTGGTGAAAAGAAGAAATCTCGCGAAAAGGTAAAACTTACCTCGTCAAAATCACCAAGTTTACTAAGTTCTCTGAAAAAAAACACAGAAAAGGTTCTGTCATGTATATTTTGTTTGAGTTTTACAGGAACTTAAATTCTTTTCAAATTTTTTGAGGCAGTGTTTTGATACAGCATATGATGGGACAGACTAGTTTTTCTAATTGTGTACATGCATTTTTCTACTTTGACGTAAAGATACAAAGTTCATGGAATCTTTTATTTTGGCTACACGTCAATAATATCACATTTACTTTGAAATCACGATTTCAGGAATCATCTCTTCAAACGACTTCTGGGGTTCGTCGTTTACTGGAAAATCCCCTTCAACTGGAATAATCTAGAAAAACAGTGGACAAAAAGTGGATGTAATCAATGCAATTCAAAAAGAGGATAAACTGACTTTGGCCCGGTTTGTAGGACACATATGACACAGAAAACAAGATTTCAGACAACATTGTCATTGTTAATTGTACGAGCCGAAAGATTTTGTTTTATATCATGATATAACAAATTTTCTTAAAACTATAAATGAACCTTCAAAGCAGCATCTTCAACACCATAATTAAACTTGAAAACCTCTCCGTAAGTCCCCTCACCGACTTTAACACAGTTTTCCAGAACTCTAAATTAAGAAATACATGTGAGAGTCAAGTCCGTGGCGAATGTAAACGAACGGCTTGTTTACATTTTGAACTTCTATTCTTTTCGAAATAGCCTACGTTATGTTGTCTGAATATCTTAAAACATTTAGGTTCGTTATGCCTTCAAATGAATATGAACTATAATGTTTTTGATGAGAAAAATTCGAGACACGCAAAATTTGGGCAACATTTTTATTTGAAGACCTCACATTGTGATGAGAAGAAACGATGCGCAGAACGGACTGTACTTCCACTTTAAGATATCGTATTTTTAAATATATATATATGGTCATAATTTTAGAAGGTTTGCATGTTACTTCACCAACGGTTCACGCACCTTTTCGATAGTATTTCATGGAATTTCAATGCTCTATTTTGACCGCATTGTTGGAGGATTTTTTCGAAGGAGCTTAATGGCCTTTTTTTCGGACGCTGCCGACTGAAACTTCCTGGCGTTAGAGCGTCCTGTAATACCATATAAAATGCATTCACTGATTATGAATTCGTTGGACGAAAGATTACATACGAAAGATCGCACATACTACAAATATAAATAGATATTCTCACCGCAAATGTAGAGCAGTTGGCATTCTTTTCTTGAATCTCTTCAATCCCTTCGCTGTTCGCAGGCGTGTGGGTTTCATACTTGGGGTGTGCTTTTCCCACCTCTTTCACATTGGTTTCGATATTGGCCGCATTTGAGGATTGTTTCAGACCGTCTTTTTTACTCAGATAAACTTTCGCATCAAGTAAACGAAACTCTCGAAATTTCTTTGCCAAAGGTAAGTCTTCGTCCGCCGAAATTTCTTCGTTTTGTCTAGACTGGAAATTAGTTGAAATCTCGCATTCAGATTCAAATGAAGTGTGTTTTACTTTGCCCGAAATACTTTTTCGGCTATTCATGTCCGAATGTCTGAGAATTCTATCAGAGGAAACCTCATTTAGAATTTCTTCATTTAGGGATAAGCATTTTATCCCATCGGAGATATTTAGAATATCATTGCTTGAAAGTTTTTGTAATTTTATTTCCATCTCTAATTCGTTTCTTGTTGTGGAATCCGATAATTCACTTGTCAAACTCGAATTAGCAATGCTTAATTTAGCATCGCTCTGATTGGCTGTGCTGCATCTTGATTCGCTCTGATTGGCTGTGTTACACCGTGATTCACTCTCATTGGCCAAGTCTTCATAATCTATGTTGCTGGTATCAGAGAACAAGCTAGGACTGTCAAACTGGCTGGTTTTGGCGTCTGATGGTGATTCTGTGAGAAGAGGACTGATGGTTGGCAGTCTTCGCCGTCTGACGGTGACGCGTGAATTCCCGCTGTATGGGGTTGAGTGACCAGGTCGAGCATTCTCTTTCCCTTTGGACGAAATATCCACGGTTTGTGATGATATATTCTCACTGAATAAACACATTAGAAAGTACTTAACATCAAAATTAACCGATTATTTCTACCGAGAAATAGCATTATTACAAATTGGCTCCTTTGTCTATATTGTCCAGCAGACCAGCACAGACGAGACGAGTCACAAGCGAATATTTAACAGCCTTATACAATGTGATAGACTATAATACAAACTACAAACTTGTGCTATTTAAACAGGCATTGATCTGTGTATTATAAAGTGAAGCGACATCGCCGACATGTTATATAAAGTAAGAACACAGTCACAGCTCGCTGATAGTAATCTTACCATAATATAGATCCATCGCTTATTGAGCTTTCTGAGCTAGTTGAGATCCAAAGATCGCTCTTAATTACACGATGTTTAAATCTCCCGTAAGTCTTTATCTTTTTAAACTCCATAACTTCGCTTCGAATGTTGATATTTTGTTTGTTTTGATTTTTGGCGCGCTAGAATGTTGAAATGCTGATTGTTCGGAACGAACGTCGTGTGATGTCGTAAGAGCTCGGATATCGTTCGGAAATGATCGTGACTGTTCGCGCGGATTTCTCTTATTATTTTACCGCGTGTAGTTTACTACAGTTTGAGAACAAAAATTTTTGCCGCTTTTTGACTGAAAATGTTGGTTTTATTCAAAACGTCCGTCGGGTACGCTATTTCCAAGGTATGAAGTGAACTGTTTAACATTTGTGACCCTTTTTTACCATCCAAAGTAGTCAAATTCCTAAACATTTTTTCAATAATGTTTAGGGCCCAATCTTTGGTATAAAAATTGGCAAGATGCACACTTTATGTTCTGGCAAAGTCTGTTTTGCCAGTGGAGTGCTTTTGCCGTACATTATGCACATTAGTCTACTATTTATCTATCCAGCAAGCCATAGTTCAGAGGAGTAAATAGAAAAATACTAAATTAGAATTATTAGTGTCCTGATGATCTCTTTTGATGATTTACTCTTATTGCTTCACAGAAAAGAATGCCTCATCAAGCTTGGCAGAATGTCACTTGATCCACAAAAGGACCTCATGTGATCACTGTGTGGGACCCTTCCTCATCAGATGAAAATTGCTCCCGAAACTTGCTTGTTTTGTAAACTTTGCCACCATAATCATAGTATCTGTGGAAATCTGTGGATGGACAAGTGGCATGTGTCAATGAATGTCATCTTATGCTGATTTTTTGTCATCTGCGATAAATGGTAGACAAGGATTGTGAAAACAACAATTACTATTGGAAAATCTAAACTAATCAATTACATTAGCACTGTTTGAGCACAAATATTATGGCTGTAACCTACCAAGTTATTGATGGATTAACTATTGACGGATTACCTTTTTTATTCAATAAAAAAGATTAAATATTTTCTTAATTCAAACAGTATTCAATATGTTAAAGCTAATTTTAATCTATAGTTTGCAATGTTCGTGCTTAAATTTACATCATCAAACCTGCATTCAACAATTTTCTCAAAACTCCACCTTAAGATCACCTGTTATGTATAAAGATTTGTGCACAGGAGAATGATGGGATATAAATCAACTTTCTGAAATTTGATTGGACATCCAATCAATATTCTTCAATTTCTGCAATTTCTGTTATCTATACATTCTATACATGTTGTAACATGAAGTATTTCACATAACATCTCATTCCGACATTTCGTCCATTTAATTTTGAAATTAAAATAACTTCTCGGCTGCTTGTTTTAAATCGGAGGAGAAATTTGTTTATTTTTATTGAAGGGAATGTACAAGATGATCTTTTAAAAAGGAATTTGTGTAAAATGGCTGGTAAGTTATATTTTCTACGAAGATAGTATAAACCATTTCATTTGGGTAGGATGACTATCGTTTGTAAATATATAAATATTTTCAAATTCCTTTGACTTGCATATGCCAATCTTTGGCATATAGTGAACAAGTGGCATTAATCGAAGGCCCACATGTGTAGGAAAGAGATTTTAACTGAAACTTTTTATTATAAAAATGTACACCTAAAAACTATCACTTGAACACAATTTAGGCAGGAATGCTTAGGTCTGTGGTCTTGTATTGGGGGGTCCAAGGGGATGCTGGTCAGCTACCAGCCATGGGGTAGGATGTGAATATATGTTCAAAATATTCTGAGAATCATATGATATGGTGTTGCTTGGTTTGTCGAAGCCTCGGGTATAGGACTCCAAGCTCTCAAGTTCACCAAAATTTCCTGACGATGACTATGTTATGATTCCTCTCATTATATAAACTAGAGTAGAGACGATACTGATTGATTACACCAAAATAATTATAATTGGCACTGGTACCGAAACCTGCATTTCCAACGGTAAACAAAATGTTTGATCACTCTAATATTTGCAGAGGAAGATCCAGACAGCAGTGTCGCAAGGGCTAGGCACAGACAGAAACGTGGCCTGCTGAAATTATACTATGGGGTCGGAGAGGAGCCTGGAGAGACTCCGGTTAATCCTTGCGATATTAATGGGGCTCATTTTAAACCTGATGATTACATGGAGAAACTACTGAAAGAGAAAAGTCTCACTGAGCTCATGGACAAAGAAACCGATATTACAAAACGTAAGGACTGTAAAACACTTGAAATTCTTATTATATTCAGTTTATTTATATAATTCAGTGACCTAATGTAGCTGATAATTTTAACCTGAGTTTATGTCAGTCCAGTGAATTTAATGTAGATCAGTGATTTATGTTAATCCAGTCAATATAGTTCAGTGTTTCATGTAACTGTAGAAAAGCTAGATTATCAAAATTAGTAACCAATGTACTTTTATTATTCTAAAATAGCCTCCATTGCAATTCAGTGGATTCAAGGGAGATCAGTGGCTAATGCCTAATGTAGTTATGCTAGATTATCTTTATATTAATCCAGTTTATATATATAAAGCAGATGAATGGTTGATGAGCTGTGTAATTTATTAATCCAGTTAAATAAGTTAGATCAGTTACATGAGTAAATTTTGTAATGCTGGGTCAACCTGATATCAATCCAGTCGGTGCAGATATAAGGCCAAATTAATTGGATTACTTGTATATCAATCCAGTTAAATCCATGAGCTCACCTTACTTCAGAAATACTCGATCACCTTGAAATCAATCCAGTCATTGCAGAGATCATTGACTTGTACATATCTTCTGGGCCACTTTTATGTTCATACAGTTAATTTCACAGTAGATCAGTGGCTAACAGGCTTTGGTAGAAAAGTGAGGTTGTGGTACCCCGGTTCTCTACAGGTGTGGGTGCTGCCATCCTCCTCTAACCTACCTCCCTGAGGCTTTCCTTTTTTTCCCAAACTCTTTTCATCACCCCTGACACGTACACTGATGAGCTCTATAGAATGGTCACTTTGACCAACACAATTCCAGGAAAGAATGTTAGCAACTATGTATCTGCAATTTTACCAAATCTAGAAATCAAATCTTTGGACAGCGAAATGCAGACGTTGGTTTACGAAAATTACAATAAATTCATCAGCGCTACGGACACGATTCGCAAGGTGCGTCAACTGTTTTCTTTCAACAACCAATCCAAAAGAAAAACGCAAAAACAGACTTTTAGCAAATTATTGCGATGGCTAGTTAAGGTCTTTCAATCACATTTTGAGCTAATTTTTATCCACGTGATAAGATTAAGTATTTTGGCTCCAAACTTGGTAATTTCACTGTAATTTTAGTATCAGGTTATTTTCAAAATTTTCGCTTGCTTGCCAAGATATAAAACTAGTGTACGGTGCAATTTTTCTATTGTGGCATTTAGTTAGATGGAAAAAGCACGTTTTTGACTGCATCCGTTTGTGATATTGCGATTTTTCGATGAAAACAACAATTCAGCGTTTGAGCCCTATTTGAGGAAATAAAAGAATTGACGAAGTGTTGTTTGGACATATTGCAGATGAAAAATGATTTCAAGAAAATGGAGGAAGAGATGGATAATTTGTCAATAAAAATGTCCGCGATTACAGCATTTAACGACAAAATAAGCAACACATTGCAAGACAAACGCCTGCAGATTACCAAGTTATCAGGCGTTCATGCGTTGTTAAGAAAGGTTGGTGTTGTATCATCTGTAATAAACTTGAAGTTTAGTTGAAGTTTGTCAAGCGAGCGCTTCATCAACTGTCGGCACTTTGTCGAATGAAAACAAGAGTTGCATTAGTGTTAACGAGATGCTCCCATGTTTATATTCCCGTGAAAACTCTCAGTTCAAATCGTGATAGTTAATTCATGAGATTTGGCAAAGAAGAATTGTGTTTGTGCTACTTCTTGTTCGATTATCGGCTTCAAAAATAGTTTATAATTTTCGTTCCAGTTGCAATTCTTATTTGAACTTCCGTCCAGACTTAAAAAATGTGTGGAAATGAAGCATTACTCCCTGGCTGTCAGGTAAAACATGATGTATAACAATTTGCTTGTTATTTTTATTTTTGATACAGTAGAAGTTGTACAGGTTTTCTTTTCCATTCCCACCAGGTACTACACGAAGGCTCGCGACGTTTTACATCAATACCAACATATGCCTTCATTCCGTGACATTCAGCAAGATTGCGAAGTTATTGTTAAAGATCTTAGAAATTGTTTGAAAGATCACTTCAGAGATCCAAAGGTGGGCTTGCCTTGATAATCTTATCAGTAAAATAACCAGGCCGACTTACGTGTCATGTATTTTGGATGATTTTCTCCGGGTGCAAAGTACCTGAAATTATACATACACGTTCGACAAGTTGTGAATGACAATTTAGAATGTCTGACAATTTATATTTTGAAAATTTTACTTTTTCTTGTCAGTCGACTCCTAAACAACTCACAGAATGTGTTGACTTGCTGCTCCAGTTGAAGGAACCACCAAATGAACTATGTGATGAATATCTTGCACAGTAAGCCTGTTAACTTTCAATTAGCCAACTTTCTGTAAACATTTCTCCCGCAAGATTTACTTGCAAAGAACTATACATATTACCAAGATTCATCCTCACAACCATGCACATCTTATTCAAATTCTATAGATAAGTTTGTTGTTTTCTTATTTCAGTGCAAAAGAAAGGCTTGATGAAAATCTACTGGAATTGAAAAATCAGGTAAACTTTGATAAAAAAAAATCACATGCTAGTTTATCGTACATGCAGAAAGATCGAGGCTTGAGATTTGCGATTTTGCCAGCACATTTATCCTGCCTCAGTGCGATATCAAAGAGTTGAATTAAATATGTGTTTAGGTCGATTTAAAAGAGGATAAATCTCACCTAGGCTCGTATGATGGTAAGTGAATGTTTACATCAGAGATTGTTGATATCCGTGGTGGATTGATATGCAGCAAGTATTAAATGAGGTTGAACCGATTATGAATAATTATCAAGCCGAAGTTTGAAGCATTTGGCCTCGATTTAGAACGACAAACTGAGACTTTATACTATTTCAAATCATC